GTGGTGAGGGGGCTTGCGCGTTCCGATGAACCTGTAGGCACAACAACTGGAGTCGTGCACTCCCAGGAGTGGCCGCGGGGGAGGTTCCAGACCAAGCACAGTCCGAAGACCCAAAGACCTCAACGGCGGAGCAGGCGGAGGATAACATGGTACATGTTACAACGGCTGCGAAGGCGGAAGAAGGCTGCAACAGACTGAGAAGCCACGGTCATTGTGTTAAACTACATCACCAGTGGAACCTCACTCTGTGAAGTCTGTGTGTTGATCAGTTGTGCACTGACCTCCACACATTAAAAAAAACCCACGCACAGGCGTCTTCCAAAGAAAACAAAAACCAAGCAACCAAAGTCCCATGGCGATCAGCGAGTGGCGACGGGGGCAGGACTGTGAAATCTGGAAGCCCCTAGTCACAGACTGGCACATGGGCGGTGGGTACGGACTCAGTCGTTCTACCTCAAGGTCCGAGGCAGTTGAGTAGTTCGGCAGCTGTATCCGCGACTGAGCAGCCCTATTGAGGACCCACTCTGCTCACCCCACATGGGGAGGGGGCTAGAAAAGGTGCCCTAAACATAGTCTGCCTCACTTATCCCTGACTGGACTGCCGCGTCCAGTGGGGTCACCACCCTGCGGCCAAAAAAGGAAAATGAACTTCGGTACGTGGAACGTACGGACTCTGATGGACAACAGTGGCAGTGAACGCCCCGAACGCAGAACTGCCATCATTGCAAGGGAGCTGGGACGCTTCAACATCGACATAGCAGCCCTTCAGGAGACCCGGAGAGCAGGAGAGGGACAGCTGAAGGAAGAAAAAGGAGGCTACACCTTCTTCTGGAAGGGACTGCCCGAAAAAGACCAAAGAATGCACGGAGTTGGCTTTGCCATCAGAAATGATCTGGTGAAACATCTGACCGAAGCACCCACTGGCATCAACGAACGACTCTCAACCCTCCGAATCGATCTTGCCAAAAACCAACAGGCAACCATCATAAGTGCCTATGCACCAACACTAGATGCTGATGAAGACATCAAGGAGAAATTCTACTGTCAGCTGGACACCGTCCTATCGGGGATACCTAAGGAGGACAAAATCATCCTCCTGGGGGACTTCAATGCAAGAGTCGGGCGAGACTTCGACCTGTGGCCAGGGACCATCGGAAAAGACGGGGTTGGAAACAGCAACTCAAATGGCATCCTGCTTCTCACCAAATGTGCGGAGCACAACCTTGTCATCACCAACACGCTCTTCCGCCAGAAAAACAAGTTCAAGACATCATGGAAGCACCCCCGGTCAAAGCATTGGCACCTCTTAGACTATGTAATCACACGCGCCAGAGACCGCCATGATGTGCTCCTCACAAGAGCCATGACAGGTGCTGACGACTGCTGGACTGACCACAGGCTAATTCGATCCTCGATGGCTCTCAAGATTGCCCCCAAGCGCAGACTCCAAGGAAGGAAGACAAGGCGCAAAATGAACACCCAAGCCCTTCAGGAGCCCTCCAGACGAGCCCATCTCCAAACAGCACTCAAGGACCATCTACCCACAGTACACCCCGAAAATGTCGAGGAACATTGGAACAAACTGAAGACCTCCATCATCCAAGCCTGCGAAGAAACTATTGGATACCAAGCCAAGAAACATCAAGACTGGTTTGATGAAAATGACATCGAGATCCAACAGCTAATTGACAAGAAAAGGAAAGCCTTCCAAGCATGGCAGAGAGACATCAACTGTGCTGCTAAGAAAAAGATCTATGCCAGTGAAAAAGCTGAGGTCCAAAGAAGGACAAGAGAACTCAAGAACATCTGGTGGACAAAGAAGGCTGAAGAAATCCAACACCTGGCAGATACCCATGATGCTCAGGGATTTTTCAAAGCCACAAAGGTCATCTATGGACCAAGAAACCATGGCATACAGCCTCTACGCTCATCAGATGGAACCAAACTCCTGAAGGACCAAAACTCAATTGCACTACGTTGGAAAGAACACTACCAAAGCCTCCTGAACCACAGCTCCAATGTGGCCGAAGAGGTCCTCTCACAAATCCCGCAACAACAAACCAGGGATGAGCTTGCAGCACTGCCTAGTTTGGAAGAAGTCAGCAATGCCATCAGCCAACAGAAGAATAACAAAGCCAGTGGACCAGATGGGATCCCTGCTGAAATCTTTAAAGAGGGAGGACCTGAGCTGACACACCAACTCCACCAGCTCATAGAAAAAGTGTGGGTGACCGAGAAAATCCCAGCAGATTTCAAGGACGCCACCATCATCACCCTCTTCAAAAAAGGGAAAAGAACAGACTGCGGAAACTATCGAGGTATCTCCCTTCTAACCTCCGCTGGGAAAATCCTCGCAAGAATCCTTGCAAACCGCCTTCTGCCCCTCTCAGAAGACACCCTCCCAGAATCCCAGAATGGCTTCCGCCCCTCCAGAGGAACAGTGGACATGATCTTCACGGCATGACAGCTCCAAGAAAAATGCAGGGAACAAAACCAACCTCTGTACATGGCATTCATCGACCTTGCAAAGGCATTCGACACAGTGAATCGCAGCGCTCTCTGGACCATCCTCCAAAACATCGGGTGCCCAAACAAATTTGTGAACATCCTGCGGCTCCTCCATGATGACATGATGGCAACAGTCTTGGACAGCAGTGGCTCCCAAAGTGACCCATTTAAGGTGGAATCCGGTGTCAAACAGGGATGTGTTATTGCCCCAACTCTATTCTCCATCTTCATTGCTATGATACTTCACCTTGTTGATGGGAAGCTTCCCACCGGAGTGGAAATAATCTATCGGACAGATGGCAAGCTATTCAACCTCAGCAGACTGAAAGCCAAAATCAAGGTTACAACAACAGCTGTTATAGAACTCCAGTATGCTGATGACAATGTCGTCTGTGCGCATTCAGAAGAAGATCTACAAGCCACTCTAAACACCTTCGCAGAAGCATATGAGAAGCTCGGCCTGTCACTGAACATTGAGAAAACCAAGGTGCTGTTCCAGCAGTCACCAGCCAATCCCTCTCCAATGCCAGTAATACAGCTTAATGGTGTAACATTAGAAAATGTGGACCATTTCCGCTACCTTGGCAGCCACCTCTCCACCAAAGTCAACATCGACGCCAAAATACAACACCGCCTGAGCTCTGCAAGTGCAGCATTTTCCAGAATGAAGCAGAGAGTGTTTGAGGACCGGGACATCCGTAGGGAGACCAAGGTGCTTGTTTATAAAGCTATTGTCCTCCCAACCCTGCAATATGCCCCCCCCCCCCCCCCCCCCCCCCCCCCCCCCCCCCCTCACCCCCCCCCCCCCCCCCCCCCCCCCCCCCCCCCCTCCCCCCCCCCCCCCCCCCCCCCCCCCCCACCCCCCCCCCCCCCCCCCCCCCCCCCCCCCCCCCCCCCCCCACCCCCCCCCCCCCCCCCAACGTGGACTGTCTACAGACGTCACATGCAACTCCTGGAACGATTTCATCAGCGCTGCCTCCGAAAAATCCTGCAAATCTCTGGGAAGACAAGCGGACAAACGTCAGTGTGCTGGAAGAAGCAAAGACCACCAGCATTGAAGCGATGGTCCTCCAACATCAACTCCGCTGAGCCGGCCACGTTGTCCGGATGCCTGACCACCGTCTCCCAAAGCAGTTGCTCTACTCCGAACTTAAGAACGGAAAACGGAACTTTTGGTGGACAGGAAAAGAGATTTAAAGATGGGCTCAAAGCCAACCTTAAAAACTCTGGCATAGACACTGAGAACTGGGAAGCCCTGGCCCTTGAGCGCTCCAGCTGGAGGTCAGCTGTGACCAGCAGTGCTGCAGAATTTGAGGAGGCACGAGTGGAGGGTGAAAGAGAGAAACGTGCCAGGAGGAAGGCGCGTCAAGCCAACCCCGACCGGGACCGCCTTCCACCTGGAAACCAATGCCCCCACTGCGGAAGAAGATGCAGAGCAAGAATAGGGCTCCACAGCCACATACGGACCCACAGGGAAATCCATAATGGAAGACCATCTTACTCGTCCAACGAGGGATCGCCTAAGTAAGTAAGTAAGTAAGGACTTAAAGAGCTCGGCATGTTTACAGAAGAGAAGGCTGAGAGGAGACATGATGAGGGCCATGTATAAATATGTGAGGGGAAATCATAGGGAGGAGGGAGAGAGCAAGCTTGTTCTTCAGAACAGCATATTGGCTTACTCCCTATATTTGGTAATTGTGTCCTAATTTTTCCACATCCCTTTCTGAAGGTATTGTCTTTTTTGCTAACTACCAAACTGTGACCACAACAAGGCTAGAGCTCAATGATTCTATATTGTATCCTGTCCAGGGATTGTTCAGTCCTCTAGAAACAGGAAACAGAAAGTATCCTCTCTAGAAATTTGCTTGGTCCTCCATAGATTCACCTTGAGGACCTAGAAAATTCCTAGATTTGTAAAAAACTTGTCCACTCTTCCTCTTTTGAGCTTCTTGTGACATGTCTTCAGTTTCTTCTGAGAGTTTAGGTCCAACATTGGGTGTGCTCCCATGAATAAAATAAATGATGTTAAGGTGAAAGAGAGGCAAATAATCAGTATCGAACATACAGATTGGGGAGTATCTGTCTATTTAAGTTCGGTGTTTATGGGGAACCTGAAGTCTGGTCCAGATACAGTTTGTATGTGTTACCTGACTTAACCTACAAACTCATTCTGCTCTCATTTCAAATCAGCGACTACAGATAAGAGTATAAAGAAGCTGTTGCGTGAAAGCTCTTTCCTTTAGAGTATGGAGCTGCCAAAAAGATCTGGATTAAAATGAATCATACAGTGGATATGATATCAAAGTAGAGAATATGTCCAAGAACTGTATCTGACTCCACCACATGCCCTTGGCTCCACATACTACCAAAAATGTAATCTCAGAAACCATTCCCAGTCCGAACCAAGGTCCTTGGCCAAAGCACCCTCCAGTCCTGTTGTGTGACAATCAAGGTATATCTACTCTAAATAATGTCATCCTCTTTGTCAACAGGGCCTACTACAGGCAGCAGCATATGTCTATGATGCCCAGTATAACAGGAACATCCCATTTGAGACCTCGCCAAAGGCAATCAGGTAAACTGGCTGGATTTAGCTCTTGGGTGAAAAGTGTTGTGGTGTTGAACACAAGTGAGGCACTCTCATTTAATTAGCCTAACAGACATATTTCACCCAAAATTTTGTGACCAGATGTTCATTTTGTTGAAGATTGCATTGGCAAGAGTTGGACTGAGTAAAAGATGATTTGGTGATCCTCTGGTTGCGCTAGGTTTGGGTGTATTGTGATTTTAACCTAAATATGGGTAATTATTGCTGGTAGAGTTTTAAAACAGGCCTAGGAAAATTAGTAGTTATTGTTCTTAAGGTTACTTACTTATTTCATGTGTTGTTAATTGCCTATAAGTCAAAGGAACCAAACAACTACTGCTGTTACTGCCACCATGGGATCTGTTTCAACCAAGTTGCTTTCTGCCCAGTCACTTCTACCATTTTTCCTCTTCCCAGGCTTTACTATCTCTACAACCACTGGTCTATGCAAGCAGCCACTTACTTCTTTATTTTTGTGGACCTTGCACTTGCGCTGTTTGAGGAACCTGCTGTGTATTTACTTCCCTTCTTGGTAAGTATGGAGGCAAGATCTAACTGGCAAAGATTTTGTTTGGGAGTCAGAGATAAACCATGAGTTATTTTTAAAAGCGTGCCTTTCTTTTTGAGTTTTTTGTTTATTAGATTTTTTTTCTTATTCCACTTTTTCAAGATAATTTATGGCTAATCAAAGCAAAAAATATATATGAAAGAACACTTTAGTCTCTTGTGCACGCAAGCATTCATATGTCCACATTATATACATATACCTCATAGGACATACTATCAAGCAAAGTGGCCGGCATTTGAATAGTGAAAGGTGGGGGTGTGTTTATATCAATCTATAATTTTCTTCACAAATGTGCCTTCAGAAATAAAATTGATCGCATGCCTGCAAAACAAAGTGGTGTTTCATGGTAGGAAGGGTCAGGGTGCCACTCGCTCACCCAAAATCTTAACCCCTATCTCAACACTTGTATTGCAGACACAGAAAAAAATAACATGGGTTTCTTGGAGAAGTGCAGGGTAAGAGGCTGATTTTTTTTCAACACTGGTTTCAGCCCTTAAGGGTGAAATTGAACTGAAATGGAGTGAATTCTCAAAAACATCATGCATGGTAGGACTGGATGCAAAATTGTTAGTTTATTGGAACCATATAAACAGCATACTATATATTGGCACCTGTCAAATAGCACCAAAAACATATCTCAAATGTCTAGAAATTTCACAGTAGAAAGGACAGCTGTTTTATCAGATGAGAGGAGGAAGATGTGGACTTTCTTTATGTACTATCTGCATTTTTGTGACTGCTGGCAGAGACTAGCATCAATTGCCAAAGTGGAGAGACCAAGAGAGAATGAAAGTATGTGAGTGTGTTATTTTGTAATTTATCCATCCTCTTCTCCCATTTCATCAGGTTACCTCATTGGTTGAAGTTTTATGCCTCTTGGTCTTCTTTGGGAGGCTGGTCCATTTTGCACAAGTTACTCCTCGCAATGTATTCTGGAAGGACACAAAGAACATCTGCATCATGATATCAATATTGGTCAGTATGAACAAGTTCTGTGCGGTTCAAGTAAGGAGTAGGATCCAGTCTTGGCCATACTGTAAATCCATTGAAGTCAAGGCAACTTACATTAAATAGAAGTTATGTCAAACTCATTTGTTTCCAAGTCTTTACCCAAATGATGGCTAAGTCTAGTTCTAGCGCACAGTTGAATTAATTATTCTATTATGTGTGTTTTGTTAGTCACATTTATATCCAGTTTTAAATCCAGTGGGCTGAAGGATGCCTGTAAAGTCAGCCTTTCACATTTGCTTAGGGTTTGGGACACGAAAGTGAAAAACCAAGAAAAAAGGGGAGGAAATTACCCAAGCGAACACATCTCTAAGAATTTCTAGATCTTCCAGCATGATTCTGTGGTCAACATCTGCTGGAATTATATATAGAATCACTCCATGCCATTCTAAGGCTGGATTTTGCAAACAACTTGCAGCTTTTTCTTCTTCTTCATCTGAAGTGAATGTGCTACAGTCAAGCATTCAATCTAGGATGTATACAGACTCAAAATTCAGTCCATTTGTCTCTTTGGATGCCATTAAAATGTTTGTTGTACAACAGGGATGGAGAGTGTTTAAATTCCCTGGAGTGAAGATACCACTATATTTCAAAATAAGGCTATGCTGACTAGGGCTGATGGGAGTTGTAGTCCAGCAGGATCTGATGGACCACATATCTCTGTCCCTATTACCCAACAACTATGATTGTCCATTCTGGTTGCCTGATAACGCTCACACTTTGGAAGTTCTTCTAGCAGCCATTATTTTCAGAATGGTATTTCCTACTGTGCTAAAAGCCATCATTGTCAGTACTTCTCAAAGGTTTTTATGTGCCACGAGATATACCATCTCCCTTAATCTCCCAATAGAACGTGCCCTTACTTATTCAAAATGTATATGTCCAGTTAAGCTTGATATCTTAGATGAAACTCAAAATCTGTGAGCATTGTTTTTTCCCCTTCTCAAAAAAAAAAGTGGGCCTGATCTGTAAATAAGCTGTTCAAACATTTCAGTGCCTTGATATTTAGTCGTGATTTCCCTCTCTTCCCTGCCTGTCTGACCCCAGGTGACTTTGATCGACCTCATTGTCTACGGTGCTCTTCGGATCTCAGCCATTCGTGGCATCCGGTGGTCAAGACCTTTGCGGCCCGTTTTCTTAATAAATTTTGCAGAAAGTCGTCAGGTAAGAGATTGGTGTGGGTTTTTTGAGGACAAATAGTCTAATTCCAAAACAGCGGCTGGTTAGCTGACCACTAACTGACAATTCTTATTTCAATTTTGTATTGTCTTGTCTGCTCCAGAAATCTATCTGTCGCTTTTCCCTCTTGAAACAAACCTTCTGCTTTTTCTCTTCTCTATGCAAACAGGCAGGCTTTGGCCTGGCCTGGCCTTGGGGAAGCTGAACCACGAGGTAAGGTTAAGTATTGGGTTGTTGAAAATATGGGGACGTGTAATTAATTGGGAGTAAGCTGGCATTTCTGTATGTGTCAAAAACAGCAGCTAATCTGAGAAGTGGGTTGCTGTGAGTTTTCCAGGCTGAATGGCCATGTTCCAGAAACATTCTCTCCTGGCCTTTTGCCCACATCTATGGCAGGCATTCTCAGAGGTTGAGGAGTCTGTTGGAAACTAAGTAAGTGTTGTAGGTTTTTCAGGCTATATGGCCATGTTCTAGAAGCATTCTCTCTTGACGTTTCGCCTGCATCTATAGCAAGCATCCTCAGAGGCAGTGAGGTCTGACCTCACTACCTCTGAGGATGCTTGCCATAGATGCAGGTGAAATGTCAGGAGAGAATGCTTCTAGAACATGGCCATATAGCCCAAAAAACCTATAACAACCCAGTGTTTCCGGCCATTAAAGCCTTCGACAATACATTAAGCAAGTGAAAATTATATATCTGGGGAATGGGTTGTTGTTGGTTTTTCGGGCTGTATGGCCATGTTCTAGAGGTACATGTGAATGTTGCGATTTTCCACCTTGATTAGCATGTAATGGCCTGCAGTTTCAGGGCCTGGCTGGTTGCTGCCTGAAGAAATCCTTTATTTGTAATCTGAGAAGCTTCATGCGCCAATTTGAGGTGGAAGTAACTAAAAGCAGAAATTCTATTTCTCTGCATCTCTTCTGCTTTAGGACTTAGATTGAGAACTTGCAACTTCTTCTAGGAAGTAAAGGTAGTATTGGACACAGCCGATGTGCAGGAAAGAGTAAATGTAAAGTGTATCTGATGCTAGTGTACTTCTGCCTTATGCTATTTCTAGCATTAGTCCAAGCATGGAGATCAGTTCTAGGGTGTTTGAAAAGCAGTGCTTAAATGTTCAGGTTTTCTAATTTAGTGCAAAACTGGAGCTTTTAAAAATTATGCTCATTTATTTATTCATTCAACACACAAGCAAGGCTGTGTATTGGACATTCTGGCTACAGCTGGTGAGAGATGAAGGATCCACTAACAGTCTTTAATACTACATACATATAGCACTCTGATTCCATTTGAACTGCCATGGTTCCATCTTGTGGAATCCTGGGATTTGCAGTTCAGAAGAGCATATTTAAAATTCGTAGCCCCATGAAAATACAAATCCCAGAATTCCATAGCTTGTTGTCATGGCATTTCAAGTGAAATATTTGCATTATAATTGTGTTATGCAAAAGCATCTTGGGCCCTTTATCCCTTCTGAAGAGTAGATTTTTGCTGGGGGGAAAGTTGTCAAAAAAGGATGGACATTTGCATGTCATAAAATTGAGTTTGGTTCATCTGAGCTAGGCTTGAATTGTCATGACCTTTGCAGTAACTGTATTTAGGTTTTATCTTTAAAAAAATAAACATTCCTGTGGATGTTGTCTTCTATTCTGTCAATTTCTGAAACCCCTGTCCTTCCCAGTACAGACAGTCCTTATGAACAACATAGGTTCTGTAGGTTTGTACTTAAGTTGAATTTGTTTGTAAGTCGGAATAGGTACATTTAAAGTGTAAGTCTAGCCATATTATATATATATATATAGAGAGAGAGAGAGAGAGCACTTTGGATAGCATAGGGAAGGGGTTACACCTCTGTGGTGTTTGTTTTGCTGTCTGTGCCCTTGTTCAGAATATCTTACCTCACTTTCTGTCCCTGAGATAACTGGATTTTGAAAAAAAAAATGGCTTGTTGTAGAAACAAGGATTAGTGATAAAGCTTCAGTTGGAAAACCTTTTCCCCATGACAACTCTTTCTGGACTGGATTTTCCTTCTGAGGAGTAGATTTCTCTCACTTCCTGTTGCTTCAGCTCCATTCTGTACTATGAGTCATTTGTAAGTTGGATGTTTGTAACTCAGAGACTGCCTGTTTAAAAAGTGATTGAGAAGAATGCCTAGTTCTTGTTGCCTGTTTGGTCTATTGCAATGCATAAACTTACAAACCATGGTGCTTGAGGGCAGAGGAGGGGGAAGGAGGATATAATACACATTCATGACTTCTGCTCTTGAATAAACGTGTGCTGCTTCTTCGCAGATCCGTCGAGCCTTCCGTAGCATCCGAAACACTCTTCCAGAGATCACCTACGTCTTTTTACTGTTCATGTTCAGTGTCCTGATGTTTTCTCTTATGGCTCTGAAGCTATTTGGAGACAGGTAAAGGGGTTGTGGACAGCTTCATAAAATTAAGAATGGGCAGAGAAGATCTAAGTGTACTAACTGTTTTTTAAAGTTGTGTGAGCTTTCGTTGGATGTAGACATATTTTTTCACTTGTAGTACTAGTTAGATTTTCTTTTTGCATAAATTTTCAGCTTCTTCAGAGGCAATACTAACAGGTTTTTATTTTTGCTTGAGCTTTCATGAATATAAACCTACCTCTTTAGATACAGTTAGTACTGCATCTGAAGAACTGCATCTGCAACAGACTCAGAAGTGGAGTGGGCAGATCAAAAGACAACCTGGCAAAATGATACTACCTAAAAGAATCCTCCACCTTGTGTGACTGTGGAGCAGAAGAAACAACTCTGCACCTGTCTGTTTGTCCACAATGCCCTGCCTCATGTACAGAGGAAGATTTGTTTAAAGATACAGATACTGCGGTTGCTGCTGCCCGGTTTTGGTCAAAAATTATTTAGCTGCTTGTGCCCTTTCTATTTTTATCAGTTTTATACTGTATGCAATGCTGTTGACATGAAATAAATAAGTACTGCATTAAAAAGGTGGGTTTATATCCATGAAAGCTCATGCAAAAATAAAACATTATTTAGGCACCATCTAGAATGCCTTATAATCCAATTTCTGAATTCAGATTATTTGCTTTGAGTCAGATTATAAACATTTTTGTAGCACTCCAAATGGGGACAATTCTCAGAGTCTTCTGTAGAAGTACTCAGACTGACTCCTGAACACAAAGGGTTAAGCTTTGCCCTATTGAGTTGGAGGGAGGATTTGGGGAATCTCTTCCAGCCATTTCCTGCATTTGTCTCTCTTTCCTTTCACTGACAGAGTTATGCTGATCTTCATAAGCATGTTTTAGTTACATTAAGCCTTTGTTGTCAACCAAAAGAGTTACTCTCCTAGCCATGTGTGTCCAAGAAGCTTCTTTCTCAGAGGCTTCAATGATTGAAAGATGCCTGTATTGATTTTTTAAAAGTAAACTCAAGGTGGAAAAGACTGGTGTTGGAGTCACCATAGGTTGAAAATAATGTTAAGATGCACATAACAACCACAAGCTTTGATAGCTGAGAGCCAATGTAGCATAGTGGTTTCAGCACTGAACTGTGACTAGAGACTGGGGTTCAGATCCCTCTCAGCCATAGAAAAACACACTTTCTCAGCCTCAGGGGAAGACAATAGCAAACCCATATCTGAACAAACATCCAAAAATCAATGACAGATTTATTTAGCATTGCATAGGTCAGAAATAACTTGATGAAACACATCAACTGTCTAGGATAGCTCCTTTAAAGTTCAGGCATGGCCCCCTCTTCTGATGGTTACTTGTTGTTATTTCTTATAACTTTAAAAAAAACATATTTGAGAAATTGGCATAAAGCTTGAAAAATCCCATTCAAGATAACTTGAAGATGCTACCTGTTAGTTTTCTTTCCCAAAGGAAAAGATTTTGTAACTTTGTTTTATTCCTTGTGTTACCTTTGAAATATAATGTTGTCTTTATTCCCCAAACCAAAGTAATTCAATAGATTAAGTAGCTGTCTTGCTTATAATTGTTACTTTCATCGCCTTAGTAGGGAAAACATAAGCTAGAATCTAATGCCAATGCTTTTGAATGTTCTGCAGTAGATTCTTTGAGGAGGAATCAGAACCATGGATTAGGAGCCACACTTTGGGGGGGGGGGGGTTAAAATCCTATTGTGTTTTGGTTTTCCTTAGGCTTCTATTCTTGTATTGTTTTTTAGGAATTTGAAGACTGTGGAAGGCTCTCCATATTTTACAAATTACCTTGAAATTGTATTCAATATGTATGTGCTGGTGACTACAGCAAATAGCCCTGACGTCATGTAAGTATTTGTCCTCCCTCCAGATTAGACATTAATTTGGAAAGGGGATAGCAATACATTTAGAGGGAGCAAGCATGGTGTAGCAGTTTGAGTGTTGGACCACAACTCCAGCAAACAAGGTTTGACTCCCTGTCTGACCATGGAAACCACCAGATTACCTTGGGCAATCATACTCTCTTAGCCTCAAGGAACAACAAATCTTACCACGAAAATCCCATGTAAGATCGTCAGAGGTCGGAAAGGACTTGAAGAAGCACAACAATGTTAATGGGGCATTTGCTAGATGCAAGAGAGAACTACCTTCCCTATACCCTGTTTCAGTGGCCGAATAAACCAAAGCATTTTTCTGATATGTATACTCTTTACGTCAAGGGACTTCTTGGCCTTCTGAGGGCAAATTACGAAGAGGTAAAGATAAATCACTGTGGAAGGGGGAGGAGAGAAACCTTCAAACTCAATATCCCAAACAACATCTTCTTACCATACTACGTACAATAAGAATTTGGTTTTTCTTTCTTCTCAAGCAATATTAGAAATATTTTTGTGGGTTTTTAAAGGAGGTACCAAATCACTGAACATTTTCCATACTGACATCACCTCCTTCTTTTCTTTAGGATGCCTGCCTATGACTTCAGTTGGTGGTACTGCCTGTTCTTCATAGTTTATGTTATAATCAACACATACATCTTCATGTCAGTTTTCTTGGCTGTTGTGTACAACAATTACAGAAAACACTTGAAGGTAAGCTCAGTCTAGACTTAGTGTACAACTGTAAGTTTATTCATAGAGAACCAGAACCACTTTCTGTACCACCTTCCTTTACCATGGGGTTACGATTTAGAACAGTGGTTCCCAACCTTTTTCTTTTTTTTTTACCAGGGACCACTTTGACCAGGGACCATTCTCCAACATTAGTGCCAAAAGGGTTACAAATCAGTTTTGATCAACTTTAGATTTGATTAGATTATTTGGAGTGCTGATTTCAGAAATTGCATTGAATAGACCACATCAGCTCTAGTTTCTGATACAGAACATATGCCATCTAGTAATCTCCATCTGCTCACCCACAGAAAATCATATTGAATAAGCCTTGGCACTATAAGAGGGTTTTGTGAGACCAGTTGATGTCATTGCATCAGACTAGTAATGGTGATGCAGCAGACCATATTTTAGTTCTTGCAGACCACTGATGGTCCATGGACCACAGGTTGGGAATCACTGATTTAGGATATTCTCATATCCTGGACACCAGAACTGCAGGCTATAAGAGCTGTAATACTACATGGCTCAACATAGCATAGTGGTTCCCCATTTGGATCTGTACTAAGTTGAGCTATATTATTCTGTCTCAGTTGACATAAAATCATCCTGGGCTTATCGTACAAACTAACAGCCCTCTACCTCACACACATGGCAGTTCTGTTCCTCGTGAAGGTGCAAAATTATTTCATCAGGATTCTCAGTGCTGTGGTACCCATTTTGTGTCTGGCTACAGGGACATAGTCAGAAACATGTATGATCTTGCCTGGTCTCCATGAGGCATTGAATAATCGTGGGGACCTTCAAGGGCTGTAAATTAGGCTTTAACTGCTATGGAGAGAGGAAGGCCATACCAACCTCCTCAGCACCCAAAAAAAGGACATGCATTGGAGTATGGGAAGATTTTGTATGCATATACCACAAAAAGATGCCAGCTAATGTGTTTCCAGGTCTCAGAGGGGGATGGAAATGCACTCAATTAAAAAGTGTTGTCTGGTAGACATCTTGAGAAGCATTGCCACTGAGCTTTTTAGATGTCTTCAGAAACTCCCTGTAATATGTAATGTAATGTTAGGATTTCCTGTCCTTCCTTTAAAAGTGATGGGTTTTCTTTTCCAGAATGAGATCCGCAAACTTGCTTATATGAAACGGCGCAAGATGATAGAAGCTTTCAACCTCTTGAAGGTCAAAGAAGGGGCAGAGTTTGTTGTCAAAGAAGACCAGTGGAAGCGCCTTGTAAAACTAGTGGCGCCTGATATCAGCACATCTCACCGAGAGCTCCTGTTAAGGATATCTGATGAAGAACAGAAGGGCTGTGTGGGTGAGTAAAGGCTAGCAAGTGCCTGAGGAATTTATTCTCCACAAATTTCATTGCAGAGGAACCTGATCCATGTTCCAGCACGAAGATGGAAGGAATTGAATATGATTAATACATAGTACCGTATTTGGGCTTTCATGGTTTTTCAAAATGTACTAAGGTGGATAATTCAAGACAGCAGTTAGGATAATACGATCCTGTGAGGAGGGAGTAGCTTAGAGACCTGGGTATGTTTAGCTTGGAGAAGAGAAGGTTGAGAGGGAACATGCTAGTCATGCTATTTGAAAGGATGTCACATTGAGCAGGGAGCAAGCTTGTTTTCTGCTGCTCCAGAGAGTAGGGCACAATGGAGAGATGGTTTCAAATAGCAGGAAAAGAGATTCCACCTAAACATTAGGAAGAACTTCCAGATGGTAGTAGAATATCCTGCCTTGGAGTATGGTGAAGTCACCTCTGGAGGTTTTTTTTAACAGAGGCTGGATGTCCACCTGTCAGGAATGCTTTGATTGTGTGTTCCTGCATGGCAGGATGTCTTTTGTGATATCGTCCAACTCTATGATTCTGTTCATGGCTGATATCCTATGTGGTACAGTGGAACACATGTGGAACACAGCTATGGCTTCCATATGCCCCACTGTTAACCACTGCCTCACTCTCTCCTAGAGCAATTCCAATGCTTGTGGAGAGGTGAAATTGTAGGAGAATTGTCTGCCTGTATCCCCATTGTCAAATGCAGACCAAGGACGTTTTACACTGTTTGCACTGACATCTTCCAGTGGGCACAGCAGATGGTGTCATCACTTTGCATCTGATGATGGGAACATAGCCAGACACTTCTCCTATACCTTTCACTCTCCACCAGCAATGGAATGGCTGTGGTGGGCTGTTACAGTGAAATGGTGAACCTTGAATGCAGGGGACACTTGGGTTGTTGTGGAGAATATCAATGCCCAGAAGGACATCAGTACCAAAAAGATATACATGGGTGTAAGATGGACTTAGACTTGCATATGTCACTAGCCGGATCTCAGCCAATACTATACATCAGGAATGGGAAAACTGCAGCTCTCTTGGTGTTTTGGACTTCAACTCCCACAATTCCTAACAGCTGGTAAGCTGGCTGGGAGTTCTGGGAGTTGAAGCCCAAAACATCTGGAGGGCTGAAGTTTGCCCATGCTATAAATAATATTCGGAATAATATAATAGCAATAGTTAGAGGAAATATATTTATATTTTGTGCAAAAATACTTACAAATATAGTTTAGATTTTTATAATAATAATAATAATAATAATAATAATAACAACAATAATAATATTACAATAGATTCTCAGTTAACCTACACCCATAGGGATTAGTAGGCGCCAGATAAAAGTAGTTTCTGGTTTCTTGAGAGTTAGTATTAAAAATAGGCTGAACAAATACTGCACCCCATACTATGCCATACCATTAATTCTGTGTTGACTTGAAATTAATATTGAAATACCATAACTGAGAACAAATAAAGAAAACAACTTAATGTAACACAGATTTACTGTATTATAAAAACAGCTTTTTGAATGCAGTTTTATTTCTTTATGGGGTTTTTTTGCCAGTTGCTTGATAGTTCCAGTTGCTTGAGTTCTGATTAACTGAGTGTCTGTTTTATTATTATCATTATACCCTGCTTTTCTCTCAGAATTCAAGCCCAGCAGAACAGATTCATGAATTACTGCATGAACATGTGTGCACACATTGCACATAGCTATAGCACCTTTCTTAGTACAGCTTGATTGTGTTTTTGTGTAGGACTTACATCACTACTGGATTGATAAGGAGGTAAATATTAGCCTGATCAGCATTTGAATTAGATTATTCCCACTGTTTTGTTCATTTCAGACAAAAAGTCTTTTATACGCCTGGCAGATCTTTTGAATATACAGGTGATCACAATAAAGCTTCACAGCCATCCCTTGGACATCTGGTTTCCCCATGTGTACAATTCTACCCCCAGCCTGTTCATCCGCAGCATGGTCCGGCACAAGTAAGCCTGTGCTTCTTTTCTTTTTTGTGAGTTGCATATATGGCAAAATATTATGATCTAGACCAGGGGTCCTCAAACTAAGGCCCGGGGGCCGAATACGGCCGCCCAAGGTCATTTACCTGACCCTCGCTCAGGGTCAACCTAAGTCTAAAACGACTTGAAAGCACACAACAACAATAACAATCCTATCTCATCAGTCCAAATAAGGCTCACACTTCCCATTGAAATACTAATAAGTTTATATTTGTTAATGTCATTCTTCATTTTAATTATTGTATTGTTTATAAGATATGTGCAGTGTGCACAGGAATTCATTCATGTTTTTTTCAAATTATAATCCGGCCTTCCAATAGTTTGAGGGACTGTGACCTGGCCCTCTCTTTAAAAAGTTTGTGGACCCCTGATCTAGACCCTGAGTGATGGAGAACAAGGATATGCAACTTCAGAGAATGCAGATAGCTGACTCTGGTTGTAACATTAATTCCAGGCACTATCTTGGCCACCTTATGCTTATTTTGTCATTTTTTCAGTGATTGCATATTGGGGTGGGGTGGGGGTTGGGGGCTCTGAAGAGGTGGATAAAGTGGGCATGGGTACTTTTTGGCTTGTTTACCACCAAAACTAAGACATTTCGGGGCTTGATGGACTTCACTTTGGGGGTCCCAAAGATCATGGCCCACATCATGGTCTATGCAAGCCTAGCGTAGAGCTAAGCAGCTACTTAAGATTATTTTTTATTAAACAAGACCTGGTAGATGATTTCCAAATTAATTTCCTCTTCTTTCTCCTGCAGGGGATTTGTGTGGATGTATGATGTAATCATATTGATCAATGCAGTCTTCATTGCACTGGATGAGAAGAATCCTTATATTTCCTATGCAGAATGGGTTTTTCTTTGTTTGTACATAGTTGAGATTCTCCTCAAGTTGTACACCTATGAACCCAGGACATTTTTTGCAAGGAATCAGTTCTGGAACTGGTAAGTACACCCTCACTATGGCCCACCTCCATTCAAAATTAAGTTCCTCCCCATGTGTCCAGATGACTTTTTTATCTACTATTTATTTATTTATTTATTTATCATATCAGGAGCTAACCAAGGGTACCGTTGTGATGTATTTAAAAACACCAAAAACAACACCAACCCCCCTCCCCCCCAAGTACAATTGGCATCCAGTTAGTAGAAACGAAGCACTTTTGTAACCGCTAATTTTGATCTTACTACTAGAGCAAGATGTAACTCTGGATTTTGGAGTAGTTTTGTTTCTTTCACATTCATCTGTATGGAGCTTGAAAATATTCCTTTTGCAGACTACAACCTCATGAGTCTCTCTTGTGTGGGTTTCAATTCTAGAAATACCAGTGAGCCAAATTAACATTTCCTGGTTTCACACTTTTTATGGCGACTCCCCTGAAAATTGCTGGCATTCCTTCACAAAAGAGAAACAGGAGTGGGGCTTAATGTATCCCATACAGCCAGGAAATGTAATTCAAAACCTAAGCTAGTATTTATAGTTCCACCAAAGACGATTAAACCCACCCAACTGCCTTGAGGCCTCCACATCTTGATTCCTGCTGCAGAAATCCATCTTTTCCTTAATTTATTTATTTATTTACTTTATTTTTATACCGCATTTTCAGCCTAATTCGGCAACTCAATGCGGTTAACTGTGTTAGGCAGTTATATTTCAAACAAGGTTATAATATACTTACAGCATTTCTCCATTTTCCCTAGGTTTGATACTTCTATAATTATTGCTGCATTGATAGCAACAGTACTCAACACTACACTTAGGTCAGGTAAGATAAGATAAGATGTGTGAGAGAGAGATGTAAAAAAGAGGCAGTTTGTAGTAGTATCTGGCCTTTGCATACTTAGTTACATACTTCTATGGTTTAGCCACAAGAAGGAGGATATGCTCTAAGTTTGTAATCCCAGCTGAGGTGCATAAACTCTTATTAATTCAACTGATTTACTAAATGTTGATTTACCAAGTTCCCATTGAATCAACTGAGCTATAGTAGTTGGGACATGCAGTTGGGTTTAGCTCTTGGTTGCTTTGTTTCTATTTTTACTTAACCATGGTTTAATGTTCTGCCTAACCCTTGAAATGTGGTTAATCTATATAAATAAAAATGTAATGTTCGTTTGTGGGATTAACAGAACTCAAAAACCACTGGGTGAATTGACACCAAATTTGGACACAAGACACCTATCAGGCCAACAAATAACCATCACTCATAAAAACACTGAAAAACACACCAGAAGAGACTTAAAAAGCAAAAAAAAAAAAACCAACAACAACATTACAACACATGCACAAAAGCACACACATATACATATACCCAAATGTATATACACACAAAACACATATACACAGACTGGGCCACAGCAATGCGTGGCAGGGAGCAGCTAGTCTTAACTGATTTATTGAAGTTGGCACTATTGTAACTGGTGTGGATTCTTTCCACAAATAAGCAAGTAACAATACACTGGTTACTTCAAAAGGAGTAAGAGAAACAAATGAATTCATTTTGGCTTATTGTCATAAGGTCATTCCAGGTGCCAGGACCCCTTGGTGGTGCAATGGGTTAAACCCTTGTGCTGACAGGACTGAAGACAGACAGGTCGGAGGTTCGAATCTGGGGAGAGCATGGGTGAGCTTCCTCTGTCAGCTCCAGCTCCCCATGGGGGACATGAGAGCAGCCTCCCACAAGGATGGTAAAACATCAAAACATCTGGGCATCACCTGGGCAACGTCCTTGCAGACTGCCAATTCTCTCACATCAAAAGCGACTTGCAATTTCTCAAGTCACCCCTGACATGAAAAAAATTCTAGGAGATGTAGGCTATATTTCAAAAGAACAAACGGTTAACTCCACCTCTGAGTATTACTTTCATAAGAAAACCTAATAAAATCTATGGGGTTGCTGTAAGTCAACAGGCAACTTGAAGGTACATACATCCTTGTGCATTCATTTATTGTATGTTTAATAAAATAAACAGTGCTGTGATATAAAAGCATTAAGAATACCTATAAAGTAAGGTTTAGCATAGCATCTGAACTGCACCAAAGCTGAGAGACCTTTCTGGTATACACAGTGTCTTAGATCTCTTTTCCTTATCTTGAGCTAAAATGAGCAGCTATTGAATCTCTACAAAGTATTCTAATAATGTGATACATTTATTTGCTAGTTATATTTTACAGTAGATTATTGCTATCCACTGGGATTTGGTTCCTGACTCTTCCATGGATATAAAAAACCATGGATACTTAATGCACAGTGTTGTCCCTTATATAAAATGTGAAAGTCAGGATTTTTTGTATTGTCGAAGGCTTTCATGGCCGGAATCACTCAGTTCTTGTGGGTTTTTTCGGGCTATATGGCCATGTTCTAGAGGCATTTCTCCTGACGTTTCGCCTGCATCTATGGCAAGCTTCCTCAGAGGTCTGCTGGAGCTGGGAAATATATAAACCCCTTTTTCCCAGCTCCAGCAGACCTCTGAGGAAGCTTGCCATAGATGCAGGCGAAACGTCAGGAGAAATGCCTCTAGAACATGGCCATATAGCCCGAAAAAACCCACAAGAACTCAGGATTTTTTTTCATATTTTTTGCATCCATGGTTGAATATATTGATGCAGAATCCATGAATACACAAGACTGACCTCATATGCTGATCATTCACCAAATGAATTCAACGTTGTATACATGAACGTTATCTTACCTATGTGGTGGCACTGATAGGCTGATTTTGCAAAAGAGTATGACAGCATACTTTCAAATAAACTGCAGTCTCCACTGCCTACTACTGTATTTATTGCAAATGCCCAAATGGAGAGAAGAAGGGCCACTTGTCAGTGAAGCTAAAGCACATTGATGAGAAATGGTTGACCAAGCATTAAAATAAGCATATACATTTTTCTTGATGGTTAATATTCCTCCACATGTTTTTCCTCCTTTTTAGTGACCATATACAATAGCCAGCAAGTACTGGATATCGTGTTCATCCTGCGGGTTCTTAGGCTCATAAGAATTATTGACAGTATTCAAAGGTAAAATAACTATTTTTCTTTTAATAGCAGTGCAATAAAACGTATACCATAGATAAACACCATTTGTAGTGGATCAGGCCAGGTTTTGCATAGATGAGTTACAATACATATCAGTGGAACCAGTATCCACAGCTTCATTTATCCACAGTCAAAAACTATGTAATCTCTAGACATTTTCTCTCAAATGTGACTATGTGGTATTCTTACACCAGAAGTTCAATAGAGTGAGCTATTATTCATTTTTTCCCTATGTAAAACCAAGAACTTATCTGTCATGGATATGGAGGTTGTTTTGTATTTCCTATTGATTGGATGCCCTTAAGTGAACAAGGAGGAAGAGGGCAACAAAATAGGGAATTAAAGCAATTATCTTGCTAAATAAATAGTGCCACAAAATAAAGTATCTGGTAGGCCCTGAGATATGTGCCCTTTGTACCTTTATGTTGAAGTGTTCTTATGCACTGTTTCCTCCCAGATTTCGTGTCATCATGAATACACTAATAAACATCATGCCTACAATGCTGACCTTTGGTGGCTTGGTTCTGGTAAGAAAGATCTTTTTTGAAAGAAATGTTTGCCATCTTACTTTATCAAAAGATATGTTCAAATACCTTGTTGGCTCAGTACCTTTGGTCCTGCTGACTTCCTGGCCCATGTACTAACTATACTTTAACATATGTCCAGCATTCCACATGTGTCCTGCTTTTTCCCATTAGGTGGTATATTACATATTTTCCATTGTTGGGATGGAGATCTTTCAGGGGAAAGTCAAGTTCTTTGCTGGAAATACAACCACACAGCATGCCTTGTATTGTGGAAATCCTGCTCTGAAAGATAGTACATTTGCTCGTGCCAAGTATTGCAAGAATAACTTCAACAACATTGCATCATCGTTCATTGTCCTCATGGAACTAACAGTCGTCAACCAATGGCATGATATCCTTTGTAGCCAAACCCTGGGCTGGTTTTCGATATTGCAGTTGTGGATCTGTATCCTAGAGTTACAGATCTGTATCTGGTCTGTCTTCACTAATCCCAAATAGCCAAGAGTTCTTATTAACAGCCAGTAGCCCTCAATCCACTTTAAGAACCAGTGCCAGATTGGGCAAAGAAATCAATCAGTTGGTGATGGAATACATAAAAGTATGACACTTCCACACCCTCCTACCACTAAGAAGGTTTGCAACTATTAGAAGCAAGTCCTAGTTGCAGAAGCATCTAAATTAGTAGTTCCCAACTTGTGGGCTCTGGCCCACTGGTGGGCCACAAGACATAAAATAAGATCTGTGGCTCTAGATTATTAAATATGGTTTTCTTTGGGAGAGCAGATGGCGACTACTGGATGGCATATGTTCTGTTTCAAAAACTAGATCTGATGTGGTCTATCCAGTGCAATTTTCTGAATCACACCCCAAATAATCAAACTGAATCTAAAGTTAACCAAAAACTGATTTGTATGCGTTTTGGTACTAATGTTGGAGAGTGGTCCCTGGTAAAAAAAGGTTGGGAACCACTGGTCTAGATTATTCCTGTCCCATGTACTCTAGTTAAATATAATATACATCCTCCTCCTTCCATCCCAATTTCCAGTTGAACAGACCTTCTTCATCCAATCCAGTATCTGGCTCTTAAGGTGGACTGGAGGGTAATCAGGCCAGGATATGCTATTTAATTATATCTCCTTAATTAAGTGGCCAGTCTAGGATTCTGATAATTGTAATTTTTAAAAAGTAAATAGAAATAAAATAAATTTCTAAATAAGGTAAAGTAAAGTTTTCAAGCCATTGTGTCAGCTTATGGCCAGATTATGAATTTTGTAGGTTTTTCTTAGGTAGGAACTACTCAGAGGTGGCTCACCATTGCTTTCTAAGAATACTTGTAGTTTTGGAAGAAAGCTAAGGACTTTCAGTTCTAAGACAGTTGATGTTTTGGCCCACACAAGCACGATGTTGTTTCAAAAGTAGGTGTATTCCTGAAAGATGCTTCTAGGATATGGAGCAGATGACTGCTATAAATTAAGATATAGAACAGGTTTTCACCCATTGAGGGCAATAAGGCTGCAATGTTGGGAAACAAGCTAAAGAAAACCTAAAATGTAAGTACAGGGATGACCCCTTAATGCCATACTTCTAGAGGCTGTTTTTATGACATCCCTGGGTAGGTCCTGCTCTGCTAATTAAGCATTGTGGGTGAGGAGTGGCAGAGAAGTGCTGGAGACCAGAGTTAGGTATGCCATGGCCTGCCCTATATTATCATTAACATGTTGCCTTGAAATGTATTGGAAAAGACTAACTACTAGCAAGTTTTCAAGGAAGTTTTGAACTATCAATCCAGTTGTTTCTGTAGATGGAATTAGTGGAGAAACCATTTTGTCTTATGCTTGAAGGCAGCATAATATTTTCGGCCTCCAGATAGATTGACTTGACATCTGAAATAAGTTTTTTTTACCAAAGTACATGATGGGAGGAGAAAGCTTGAGACAGTATTTTCTTGGTGCACGTGGCTGGTAGTGGATGATGCTTTCCTCTTTGGTAAAATCCTTAACATTGTACTCATTGCCAGTGGATTTGCCCTTGTGACTCACCAGGCAGCAAAGCTGTACTTCATCACCTTTCATATCGTCATTGTGATTATGATTATTAAGTAAGTCATTGCTGCTATTGCTCCTTGTTAAGTGTAGAATTGGGACTCATAATTTATATTCATTTTAATGTTCAAAAATTGTATCTCCATGTCAGCTTGATGGCAGAGTGGTATCTATATATATAAATTTGTTAGGGGCATCCAACGGAGAAACAAAACTCAAAAACCCCCCAACGAAACTTAACCAAAATTCCCATGCCCATAACACAACCCACAAGGTACAAACATATCTACTCAAAATGAAAAACAACACAACAACACACTCACAAAACGGCAAAACAACAAAACTCAAAAAACCCTCAACGAAACTTAACCAAAATTCCCGTGCCCATAACACAACCCACAAGGTACAAACATATCTACTCAAAATGAAAAACAACACAACAACACACTCACAAAAGGCAAAACAACAAAACTCAAAAATCCCCCAACGAAACTTAACCAAAATTCCCGTGCCCATAACACAACCCACAAGGTACAAACATATCTACTCAAAATGAAAAACAACACAACACACTCACAAAACAGCAAAACAACAAAACTCAAAAATCCCCCAACGAAACTTAACCAAAATTCCCGTGCCCATAACACAACCCACAAGGTACAAACATATCTACTCAAAATGAAAAACAACACAACAACACACTCACAAAACGGCAAAAGAACAAAACTCAAAAAACACCCCAACGAAACTTAACCAAAATTCCCATGCTCATAACACAACCCACAAGGTACAAACATATCTACTCAAAATGAAAAACAACACAACAACACACTCAAAACGGCAAAAAAACAAAACTCAAAAAAACCCCAACGAAACTTAACCAAAATTCCCATGCCCATAACACAACCCACAAGGTACAAACGTATCTACTCAAAATGAAAAACAACACAACAACACACTCACAAAACGGCAAAACAACTGAGCATGCGCATTGGCGCCCAGCCGCAAGTTCCCTGGCGCGCGCACATGGCCTTCCGGCCAACGTTCCCTCTGCGGAAACCATGCCCACTCCAAGCCCCGCCGCGCCGCTTCCCGCACACACACACCCCCTGCCGCACACACACACACAACCCCACACTCCATCACTCCCCCCGCCGCCGCACACACACACGCAACCCCACTCCCCCTGCCGCCGCACACACACACACGCAACCCCACACTCCATCACTCCCCCCGCTGCCGCACGCACACACGCAACCCCACTCCCCCCGCCGCCGCACACACACACGCAACCCCACGCTCCATCACTCCCCCCGCCGCCGCACACACACACAACCCCACGCTCCATCACTCCCCCCCGCCGCCGCACACACACACGCAACCCCACGCTCCATCACTCCCCCCCCAATCTTACCTCCTTTTACTTCACGCCACCTCCAAACCCCACCCCGCCCCTTCCTGCCCTGTCAAAATCTAGGAAAGACAGGAAGGAAGGAAAGAAGGAAGAAAGAGAAAGGGAGGTAAAGAAAAAGGGGGAAGGAAGGAAAGTTAGAGAAAGAAGGAAGAAGAAAAGGAAAGAAAAGGAAAGATGGAAGGAAAGAAAAGAGAGACAGCAGAAGAGAAAGAAAAAGGGGGAAGGAAGGAAAGAGATAGAGAAAGAAGAGGAGAAGGAAAGAAGGAGAGAAAGAGGGAAGATTGGCCACAGCAACACGTGGCGGGTAAAGGTTGTTATTTTTATTATTATTATTATTATTATGCTATTGTTCCTATGAGACCCTGGAGGAATGGGAGAGGTGTCAGGTCCCAGAGGCAATGCATTGCATTATTGTTATTGTTATGATGGTGGTAAAATAAAAGGAAATAAAAAGTGAAAGAAGGAAGCAAACAGGGAGGGAAGAAAGGCAAAGGAAGAAAGGGGGAGGGAATGAAGGAAAGAGAGAAGGATGAAACCAAGTAGTGAAAGGAAAGAGGTAGAGAAGGAAGAAAGGAGAGAAAGGGGGAGGAAAAGGGGGAAGGAATAGGTAGGTACCTCTCTTTCATAATAGTCCAGATATCTACCTCAACTTTGATAAGTTTTACTATAGACCACAGCAACGCGTGGCAGGGCACAGCTAGTTACTCCTAAAATAGTTTCTCGGGGTAGATTTTTACTTATATTCAAGTGTTTTGCATTTTGATTGATGGATTGACTGCATTTGTGTGCCACCTTTCTTCTAAAGTCTCCTAGACAACTTGCAAAATCATCAATTAATATATTCACAATAAAATGTGGATATAAATATACTGGCAAATATTTCTAGAGACCTACAAAAACAACCCTGATCAACACGTAGTCCCACGGTTCTACTTTTTCCAACCCATCAATATGGCAAGTGAGATTTCTCACCCATCTAACCCATATTCACTACTTTATCCATCTTTTTTAGTATTAAGCAGAAAAGGGTCTCAGCATCTGTGGGGCCTGGTGAAGAAGGACTGGAGAAACAGAGACTTTTTGGCATTTGTTTGTATTTGTGTGACTGTAGTAAATGTAATAAAGCTTTGACTGGGAAATATAATTCTAATTTAGCAATTGCATTGTAATCATGTATGGTGTTTATGATACGCAAGGTAAATAGCAGCCATCCAAGAATCTCCTGCTGTGGTTGCATGGACAGTGAGACAGAAATAAAAGGGGAAAGCAGATACAGTAAGCCCTTGGTATCTGCTGGGATTTTGTTCCAGGACTCCCCATGGATAGCAAAATCTATGGATTTTCAAGTCCCATTATATACAGTGGTATAGTAAAATAATATCCCTTATATAACATGGCTATATAAGGGATATTATTTGCTTTCTGCCATTTCAAGCAGAAGGCACATCTTTTGCCTTCTTTCAAGCCATTGAGACCATGGATGCAGAAACTGTGGATATGGAGGGCTGACTCTAGTCCGCCTTAGCAGTGAGATGTAAATGACATTTCAAGGGCAAAGACTGTGAAATGCAGTGTTCCATATGTTAACTTTGGTGTTTTGTCACATTTTAGCATATTCATAGCATTTATCCTGGAAGCTTTCTTTGTGGAATATTCCCTTGAAAAAAGTGAAGTTGAAACTGCCATTGAGAAGAAGATCCAAGAGTTTGGTGTAGGCATCCAAGAGTGAGTAATCAAAGAGCAAAATATCTTCTATTTTTGATTCCATATTCATATCCTGCTGTCAATAGTCCAGTGAGCTTGCTGAGTGTAAGCTGAGTAATTACCACCAATGGAGAGGGGGCAGAATTACTACGGGTGCTGATTTTAATACCAGTTTTTAATAAATGTAACCTACGTATCCTCCGAGGTTACATTTAAGGACTTTGCATGGAAACTTGAAATTATGTATTACAGCAAATTTATATTTATTTATCATATCAGGAGCGAACCAAACAGTTGTATTGTATTTTTTTAAAACCCACAAAGTTTGAAAACTTGGCATTCTATTAAATGTCCTATGACCAGTAGCTGGCTACTTGGAGTGCCTCTGGTGTTGCTATAAGAAAGTCCTCCATTGTGCATGCGGTTGGGCTCAAACTGCATTGTAATAGGTGGTCTGTGGTTTGCTCTTCTCCACACTCACATGTTGTGGACTCCACTTTGTAGCCCCATTTCTTTAGGTTGCCCCTGCATCTTGTGGTGCCAGACAGCAGTCTCTTCAGCGCCTTCCACGTCATCCAGTTTTCTGTGTTCCCAGGAGGGAGTCTCTCATTTGGTATCAGCCATTGATTGAGGTTCCAGGTATTAGCCTGCCACTTTTGGACTCTTGCTTGCTGATGTGTTCGAGCGAGTGTCTCTGTAGATCTTAGAAAACTATTTCTTGATTTAAGTCGTTTACATGCTGGCTGATATCCAAATAGGGCATGGGCCAGAGATGTCATTGCCTTGGTCCTTTCACTATTAGTTGCTACTTCCCGGTGGATGTCAGGTGGTGCAGTACCAGCTAAACAATGTAATTTCTCCAGTGGTGTAGGGCGCAGACACCCCATGATAATGCGGCATTATCATAGCAAATGAAGAACTTGTAGTCTAGGTGTGCTGGAGGACATTGAAAAACCCATAGAGGTGACATACTATATTTGCTCAAACCTTATTTGTGTGTGGGTTGTTTTTTTGGTTGTTTTTGGTTTTAGAGTTTTGAAAATTAAGGTGTGCATTGGATTCAATGGCGCAATAGAACATTAGACAGTTCATAAATGAAACTGCAGGTGATGTAGATACGGAGGCTGAACTATGTGTGTTTCTAATCTAGGAATGGGTAAACTATCACCCTCCAGGTGTTTTGGACTTCAACTCCTACAATTCCTAACAGCCGGTTTGTGGGCGTTAAAGTTCAAAACACCTGGAGGGCACAAGTTTGCCCATGCCTGTTCTAAACTATGTCTAAAATTGTGTGTTGTGAGCCTCAAAAGACAACTCATTGACATGACCATTCAGTGGGCTATTGAAAAGTAATGCATTGCAGTGTTGTTTTCTTACCTATCCCATTAGGGTGGAATTGTGATTTACATTACTTGGATGAGCTGGATGGAAGGATTTCCCCCTTTCCCCCTTGAAACCATGGGTGCAACCCTCTTAAGAGCCATTCAGGATGCTCCATGCTGCTGGCCAAGTAATTCAAAAGCAAAGTAAATCGAGCAGGGCATCCAGGGATTGTTGGCTGCAGCTCCTGAAATATTTTGCAGCCAGCAACAACATCATTCTTGCACTCCTCTGAGCAATGCAGGGCCCTTTTTCAAATTAAAACAAATAAGAGAAAAATCCTCTAGCAATTTCATATGGTTAAGGTACATGCCAACACTTCCTTAGATTATCTCTAAATGGTAAATATAACCTTCATTTTCACTGTGAAAGAAATGCAAGTGCATTGCTCCACAGCACACATTGTTGTGCCTTGTTCACTCAGAAGTAATTTGGTGCAGGATTTTCACTTGTAACTTTGCATTCAAGCTCAGCAAATGTAATGCTTACTAGTGAAACTAAAACATTAATTTGGTGGGTTTTCTTTGACCCCAGAACATGTCTAAATATCATTTTTCAAGAATAAAACAGCATTCAAATCAATAGAGTAGTGGTCATTCCTCGTGTCTCCTTTCCCCACTTCAATGATGTTGGTAAGCCCTGAATTATTTCTTTAGCTGTTGTCCAAGCGGATTAAAATATCTTCCTCTGAGTGCGTTTAAACAGGCATATTCCAGTAAATGTAGCCGGTGTAATAAAAAAAGGCCACCTCAACAGGAATGTTTGTAGGTTTCAGGTATTCCGCAATTACTCAACATCCAGAGACAAAGAAAAAAAAACACATGTTCACATGAAAGGAAAGCCTTTTTTAAAAAAATCCATCAGTCTTATGTTTGCAAAAAAAGTAAAGAACACAAATTAAGTGCATTTGTTAAAACAAATTTTATCCCATTTGTTAATTTTAGAAGTGTTTTGCATTTCTTGTGATGACACTGCTGTAAAATGCCTATCTCATCAGTCTTAGTTTGATATGACTTCTTTAACGAAGTGTGTTGTGTTGCGTGGGTAAAATGATCTTATTTCCTGGGAGAAGCTTGAATCTGCACAAAGTCAGTGGCAAACAGTACAGTCCGTTCTGACTATTACCAATTGCAGCAGCAGTTTTTGAGATTGACAGCTAGCTTTAGACCACTCTTTACCTGGTACTGATGGTTACTTTTTAGATGGTTTGAAATTGCAACCATCCAATCAGCACTCAAAACATGTAGACATCTGTTCGAAGTTTGTGAGCTTACAGCAGCAAAATTCCAGATGTACTCCACAAAGCTATGCAGGACCATAATAGGTCCCATATGCTTAAAAGTTCCTGTTTTGCAGTACCCTAGAAGCATGTCCTGTGTTTGACCAACATAAGCAAAACAATTATTTTTTCATAGAATCCTTGAGTTGGAATAGACCTCATGGGCAATCCAGTCCAACCCCCTGCCAAGAAGCAGGAAAATCGCATTCAAAGCACCCCAGACAAATGGCCATCCAGCCTCTGCTTAAAAGCTTCCAAAGAAGGAGCCTCCACCACACTCCGGGGCAGAGAGTTCCACTGCTGAACGGCTCTCACAGTCAGGAAGTTTTTCCTAATGTTCAGGTTGAATCTCCTTTCCTGTAATTTGAAGCCATTGTTCCACACCCTAGTCTCTAGAGCATAAAAAAACAAGCTCCCTCCTCCTTATCACTTCCCCTCACATATTTATACATAGCCCTCATCATGTCTCCTCTCAGCCTTCTCTTCTGCAGCCTAAACATGCCCAGCTCCTTAAGCCACTCCTCATAGGGCTTGTTCTCCAGACCTTTGATCATTTTCTTCGCTCTCCTCTGGACACATTCCAGCTTGTCAACATCTCTCTTTAATTGTGGTGCCCAGAACTGGACACAGCATTCAAGGTGTGGTCTGACCAAGGCAAAATAGAGGGATAGCATGACTTCCCTGGAACTAGACTCTAGACTCCTATTTATGCAAGCCAAAATCCCATTGATTTTTTTAGCTGTCACATGACATTGTTGGCTCATCTTCAACTTGTTTTGAGATTACAATTCTCAGTATCCCTAAGCCATGCTGGGTGGGAGTTATTGGGAACTGTAGTCCATAACTTAACTCTTCAAACTTCTGAAAATGGGACCATTTGTGGCATACAGGAATAATTTTATTATATTTTTAAGAGCCTGTTTGCCTCTTATAGGTTTTTAAGTTCCGGTGAAGTATTATACACATAGACTTTATAACAGCTTTGGAGATGCCAAGGAGTCCCAAAAGGGAATATAAGAGTGCTCAAAGCAAATATGGAAAGGAAGTATCTGTTTACCTTTTACAGAAATGCACTGAGAAGGTTGGAATTGCTCTTTTGTTTTTTTAAAGGGATGAATTGCTGGACGGTAAACTTTTAGACAACATGGAAACCAGTGAAAATGATCTTGGAGGTGAAGAAGGAACAGCAACGAAGAAAAAACTTAAAGGACTAATGTTTAAAATTGCTTCCAAAAGTAAGTATATTGTCTAAGAATCTTCTTTTCACAACAAAACAAGCTAAATCCTACATCATCAGATATAATTATAATGATTTTTTCCATGTCATGAACAACTTGAGAAACTGCAAGTCACTTCTGGCGTGAGAGAATTGGCTGTTTGCAAGGACATTGCCCAGGGGATGCCCGGATGTTTTTTGATGTTTTACCATCCTTGTGGGAGGCTTCTTTTATGTCCCTGCTGACAGAGGGAGCTCATCCACGCTCCCCCCTGCAATGATGGATCTCTATTATCATAGCTATGCCTGATGATGCCACATCCAATGGCCATATATTTTCAGCTGGGAAGCAATCAAACTAAAAGGATTTCTGGGGCACTGGGATACTGTATCTGCAATGTTCTTAAGTCAAGGGCAGATTAAGTAAAAATGGGGAATCCCTCAAGAGTTCTGCTGCAATTTGTCTCAATGCATCCTGCAACTAGAGGAGTTACAGTGCTATGCTCCCACTGTAATAAACATGTAGCCAATCCTCCATATAAACAGATTCTGCATTCAGATATTTAATTGTCCACTGCCTGAAAATATTCAATGAATAAAACCCCCAAAGCAAAGCTTGATTTTACCTTTTTTACATAAGGGACCCAATTTTATTATGCTGTTGTCAGCTCTTCATTGTTGCTAGGACCCCCATAAGGCCCCCAGGAAAATGAAAAACTGCAAATAAAGAAACACTATTTATTTATTTTTGAAAAAGCATCTCTCTTAAGAATGTCTCTCTTCCTGCACAACCCTATGATCTCAACTTTCAGTGGAAACAAAAAACAAGAGAAACAACAAAACAAAACAAAACAACAAAACAAAACAACAAAAAATCAAGAGAAAACCTAGAGATTTCTAGAGAGGTGTTCTCTTTAGAAATTTCTCTGCCCTGGGGCTAACAGCGAGAACTCACCCTGTTCCCCGGATTCGAACTGCCGACCTTCAGCAACGCAGCGGTTTAACCTGCTACGCCACAAGGGCCCCCCATATATATATGGGGGGCCCTTATACTCACCCTGTTCCCCGGATTCGAACTGCCGACCTTCAGCAACGCAGCGGTTTAACCTGCTACGCCACAAGGGCCCCCCATATATATATGGGGGGCCCTTGTGGCGTAGCAGGTTAAACCGCTGCGTTGCTGAAGGTCGGCAGTTCGAATCCGGGGAACAGGGTGAGATCTCGCTGTTAGCCCAAGGGCGAGTTCTCGCTGTTAGCCCCAGGGCAGAGAAATTTCTAAAGAGAACGCCTCTCTAGAAATCTCTATATATTTATATATTTATATATATATATAAATTTATATTTATAAATTTATATATATATATATATAAATGCTCTGTTCGTTTTGAGTGCATCATAACTCAAAATCCGCTGGACGAATTGCCACCAAATTTGGCCATAAGACACCTACTAACCCAAAGAGTGACCATCACTCAAAAATTGATTTTGTCATTTGGGAGTTGTAGTTGCTGGGATTTATAGTTCACCAACAATCAAAGAGTATCCTGATCTCCACCAACAATGCAATTGAACCAAACTTGGCACACAGGACTCCCATGACCAACAGAAAATATTAGAAGGGTTTGGTGGGCATTGACCTTGCATTTGGGAGTTGTAGTTCACCTATATCCAGAGAGCACTGTGGACTTAAACAATGAATTTGGCACAAATCCTTCATATGCCCAAATATGAACACTGGTGGAGTTTAGGGGAAATAGACCTTGACATTTGAGAATTGTAGTCACTGGGATTTATAGTTCACCTGCAATCAAAGAGCATTCTGAACCTCACCAACGATAGAATAGGGTCAAATTTCCCACACAGAACCCCCATGGCCTACATAAAATACTCTGTTTTCTAGTGGTCTTTGGTGACCCTTCTGACACCCTCTCATGACCCTCCCAGGGGTTCCAATCTCAGATTGAGAAACACTGCCTTAAGGCCATCCAGTCCAACTTCCTTCACCAGGGCAAGAAAACATAATCAAAATCCTCCTGACAAAGAGCCATCCAGCCATAGATATAGATAGATATGATTCATGCACACACATATAGATGTATATGACAGATATAGTATCATAGATTTGTAAGGGACCCCTAAAGAAGGATAATTATATGTTGCATGTTCCAGAGTAGGCAAAATAGACAATCTCTACATTAACACTGACAAAGAAACAAGAAATACTGTTTACCAACAAGCATAAAAGAAATTACATAGATTAGAAACCAACATGTTCTCATTACTTTATTTTCCAGATCACCAGACTGGGCAACAGCAATGTGTGGCAGGGGCAGCTAATATATTATATTATTATATTAAATGTTATTTATTTTTTGCTCCTAGGATACAGAACTGTGGATGCTTTACTTCAGCGCATGTTTGAAGCAGAGATTCCTCCAGAAGAAGAAGGGCCTTCATTGGATCAGATCTTAAACCTTTCTCCGGATGATGCTTATCCCAAAGCTCCCGTTTTTGACAATGCTGCATAACATGGGAATGAAAGGAAATAACTGGAAACTCTCTTTGGCACAATGGTCTCCTTGTTCAAAACTCTTTTGCTCATTAACTGCCAAGTTCAGAGCTATCACAAGGATCATGGGCCACTTGTAACTTGGTCACTGGTGTTGCTATCCTTGCTAACTCTCCATCCACCCATGAAAGAGGCATTCAAAATCATCAGTATTTTTTAAGTGTATAAATTGTGAAAAATGTGGTATTTTTAAAGGGAAAAGCACATTGAATGTGCCTAAAATACTTGACTCTCTCATAGAAGCTTAGCATGCTAGATTCAAATACATTGTATTAAACTTGTATAAAAAGTATTGTGAAATGTCTTAATATTTAACTTTATAATCCACTTATTACCTATGATGGGTGATCTCATGGATTCATGATCAATCAAGAGAGGGGCAGAGGGAAATGCATTAATAAATGTTTGAAGGATGAGATGTTCTTCTCTCTTCCACTTCTCCATTTTTTAAAGGCAAGGAGGAAATGTGTTGATCATCTTATCTCATTTACAGAGACTGCATTTTTGTTCGAGCTGTTATGTAATGGGTTAAAAGTACTTCAAAAGCTTAAATGTCAGCGAAGGTTCTCTCAAACACATGCATTTAGTGGAGAATGTCTGCTATTCTCCACGAAATGTCTTTATTATATAATAGCAGTACCCGCCACGCGTTGCTGTGGCCAACCTTCCCTCCGTCTTTCTATCCTTCTTTCCCTCCTTCCTTTGCTCCCTCTTTCCTTCCTTCCCTTTTCTTCTTTCCTTGTCTCCTTCCTTCCTTCTCTACCTCTTTCCTTCCTTCCTTTGCTCTTTGCTCTTCCTTCCTCTTCTTTCTTTCCCTCCCTCCTCCCCTCCCTCCCTCCTCCCCCCTCCCTCCCTCCCTCCTTCCCTTCCTTCCCCTTCCCTTTCTTCCTTCCTTCCTTCCTTCTCCTTCCTTCCTTCTTCTCTCTTCCTTCTTCCTTCCTTCCTTCCTCCCTCCCTCCCTCCCTCCATCCCTCCTCCCTCTTTCTTCCCTTTTTTCTGTATCATTTTGCTTTTCATCATTTAGCTTTTGGGGTTTTTTTTTGCTGTTTTTTAGGGGGGGGTTATGGGTGATGGGTTTTTTTTGCTGTTTTTTAGGGGGGGTTATGGGTGATGGTCACTCGTTGGTCTGTTAGGGATAGAGTGTCCAAATTTCGTGTCAATTTGTCCAGTGGTTTTTGAGTTACGTTAATCCCACAAAAGAACATTACATTTTTATTTATATAGATAATTCTCTAAAGGCTCAAAAACTCAAGTTCTGATCAATATGGGTGGATTCAAGTATTAAGAGTGAAGGAATAGCATGGTGCTCAAGTAGCATTTAGTGGAAATGCAGTATTTCCCTCTCACTGGTTATTATCTCAAGATACCCCTCTCCCACCATCATGTGAGACAGGGCAGGCTGTTCGCTGTACAGCAGGTATGGGCAACTTCGGCCCTACAGGTGTTCTGGACTTCAGCTCCCACAATTGTGGGGGTTGAAGTCCAAAACATATGGAGAGCTGAAGTTTGCCCATACCAGCTGTACAGCATCTTTCTGTTAATATGTTGTCAAAGATTTTCATGCCTAGAATCACTCAGTTGCTGTGAGTTTTCTGGGCTGTATTGCCATGTTCCAGAAGCCTTCTCTCCTGATGTTTCACCCACATCTATTGCAGGCATCCTCAGAGGTTGTGAGGTTTGTTGGAAACTGGGCAAGTGGGGTCTATACATCTGTAGAATGTCCAGGGTGGAAGAAGGAATTCTTGCCTGCTTGAGACAAGTGTGAATGTTGCAATTGGCCACCTTGATTAGCATTTAATGGCCTTGTGGCTTCAAAGCCTGGCTGGTTATTGCCAGGGGGAATGCTTTGTTGGGAGATGGTTAGCTGTCCCTAATTTATTATTATCTGGAATTTCTGGGGTTTTTTTCAGCGTTGCTCTTTATATACTGTCCCAATTTTAGAGGTTTTTTTTTTAAAAAAATACTTGGTTTCTTCCTTTCTCTTGAAATTGTCCACATGCTTGTGGATTTCAATATCTTCTCTGTGTAGTCTGACATGGTAGTTGTAGTGGTCCAACATTTCTGTGTTCTCAAATAATATGCTGTGCCCAGGTTGGTTCATCAGGTGCTCTGCTATGGCTGACTTCTCTGTTGAAGTAATCTGCAGTACCTTTCATGTACCTTGTTAATACGAGGGTTGAATGAAAAGTAATGCCTCCACCTTCATTACTTGGGTTTGGATGGGAAAATTGTAATAAATCAAACGCAGAAATAATCCTTAGAATGTGCTCTTTAACTACCACTATTCACTTTTCCACATAATCACCAGACAATTGCATACATTTCTGCCAACAATGAACAAGTTTTCTGAAACCATCACAGAAGAAGTCGATACTCTGTTTCCGCAACCCATCGTGCACAGATCTTCCAACAGCCAAGCAAAGCAATAATGTGATCCACATGTTCTTGTGAAATGCCGATTATGCTTGAAATTTCTGAGTGATACGATGATTGTCCTGAATCAATCTGTCAACCTTTTGCTTGTGAAACTCGGTGATTGCTCTCACAGGACATCCAACTCTTTGTCACGCAAGTCAGATGTTCCCACCTTAACATCTTTAAACTTACTCGCCCAACGATGCACAGAACTCACATCAACACAATCACCATAAACAGCTTGCATTCTCTGATTAATCTCCTTTGGGGTGACACCTTCTGCTGTCAATAATTCAATGACTGCACATTGCTTAAGTCGCATTGACTGACCATCTGCATAGGGTTCCATACTTCGCACTTTAACAACACAAACTTTCAATGCTAAGGCTTCTTGCCAAAATGGAACTGTAAAAAAGAGTCTACTGAATAAGCCAGTACCTGCCGCATAGCAGTACTGCCATCTGTTGAGTTACGAAGGTGGAGGCATTACTTTTCATTTAACCCTCGTAGTTATACTTTTAATAATTATAGTAGTTGTACTTTAAATGTTTTGTACAAAACCAGGTATGTCTATTTTTAGAGAAGTGAAAAATGCTACCTCTAACCACCTATTTATATGTTATAAATGGCTGAGCTGTTATAAATAGGTTTTATAATAGTGATCAATAATACAATTTATATCAAGGACATTCCAGTTCCCCAAAATAGAAATAAATCAGAAGTAGTGACCAAAGAGTGAGTGTGGTATAGTTGTTTGAGTATTAGACTACAACTCTCGAGGCCAAGATTCAAATCCTAGCTCAGCCATAGAAGTCCACTGGGTGACCTTGGACAAGTTACACTCTCTCAGTCTCAGTTACTCTCTCTCAGACAACCTTCCTCTGAACAAATCTTGCCCAGTACACCTTGTTTTGCCTTACAGTCGCCATACTTCATAAAATATTTGAAGGCATGCAAGTAGCTGAAAGAGCAAGTAGGGAAAAGTGTAGGGTATGAAATCTGTTGCTATCACCTATAATCCTGCTGGACAACTTGTGGATGTTCTCTGTGTAAGAAGAAATAAAGGTTTCCCTTTGACATTAAGTCTAGTCGTGTCCAGCTCTGGGAGGTGGTGCCCATCTCCATTTCTAAAAAGAGCTGGTGTTCTCTGTAGACGCCTCCAAGATCATGTGGCCAGCATGACTGCATGAAGCGCTGTTGCCTTCCCGTTGGAGCTGTTCCTATTGATCTACTCACATTTGCATGTTTTTGAACTGCTAGGTTGGCAAAAGCTGGGGCTCATAGTGGAAGCTCACCCCACTCCCCAGATTTGAACCACCGACCTTTTGGTCAGCAAGTTCAGCAGCTCGGCAGTTTAACCCACTGCGCCACCGAGGGCTCCATCGTTCTCTATACAGTCAATGAATATACATATGTCTTGCATTACTGAGAACTATGCATCTTGGAAGCTTCTAGAATTGATTAGATTTTTAAAATAACATTTTTTTTTGGCAGGGAGCAGGGGAAACGTTCATGTTCACTTTATTTTAATACTACTTTTCAAATTCTGCTCTATATGTTCACTTGAAACTTGCTTTCAGTCTTTCCCATCTCTCCTTGTATCCCAGTTTCAAATCTGTTTGTGTTTTCCTCAAACCAGAGAATAATTGTGACATTGCCCTTTTTTTTTTTTGAGAATGCTATTACAACCAAAGTAAGGGGTTTGAGTCCCTTCCATGGGAGAAAAGTTAATAATAATAATAATAATAATAATAATAATAATAATAATAGCAGAATTGACGAGAAGCAACTGGAAAAGCTTACACGACAGGAGGATTTAAAGGTCAAACTCCAAAGACTCTGGCACAAACCAGTAAAGGAGGTCCCAGTGGTGATTGGCACACTGGGTGCAGTGCCTAAAGACCTTGGCCTGCACTTAAAAACAATCAGTGCTGACAAAATTACCATCTGTCAGCTGCAAAAGGCCACCCTACTGGGATCTGCACACATTATCCACTGATACAGAGTCCTAGACACTTGAAAAGTGTCCAACTTCTGATCAAATACAAAAGCAGGCATAGTGATCTTGTTTGCTGCGTATTAATCTTGTTGTGTATCAAATAATAATAATAATAAAGTATATGGTTTTAAAAACTCAAATGTTAATGTATCCGTGTAATAAAAGAACAGTCTTTGCACCAATTTATACAAGGGTTTTATAAAAGAAGGTAAGAGTCTAACCCCTTGGACAAGATTAGACCATCAAGTAATTACTGTCGGCATCCTTATCAAAGCCATTCAAGGAGTCTTAAGATTTACTTTCTTGAACGCTTATTTTCAACAAGCAACACTGCAAGTCTATTCCGGAGAGCAATTATTTTGTTGGCATATGTTGTCAGAAATAAGTCTCTTAGTTTTGCCCGCAAGTCTCCCAGGCGGGGCAAGTGGTTGCAATCCTGGATGTTCAACAAAGTGAAGAAGAGGTCAGTCCAAACATCCGCGTTGGGGATCCTGCAGAAAGAAGGAACAAATGGTAAACATTACTGGCTCAAGAATGGGAATCTTCTGGGAATCCAGACAGCTTTTCTACAGGGGTGATGCACTGTGCTCTTACTGATTTTGCTTCCAAATCCATCTTATTGGCTGTTAGGAATTCTGGAAGTTGAAGCCCAAAACACCTGGTGGGCCAAGTTTGCTGATGCCTGTTATAGAAAAATCTGCTCTGCTCTAAAAATTCACAGTAAAAGGTTAGGTAAAGGTTTTCCCCTGACATTAAGTCCAGTCTTGTCCGACTCTGCAGATTGGTGCTCATCTCCATTTCTAAGCCGAAGAGCAGGCATTGTCCATAGACAACTCCAAAGTCATGTAGCCAGCATGACTACATGGAGCACCGTTACCTTTCCGCCGGAGCGGTACTTATTGATCTACTCACATTTGCATGTTTTTGAACTGCTTGGTTGGCAGAAGCTGGGTTGAACAGCGGGAGCCCACCGCGCTTCCAAGATTCAAACCGGCAACCCTTCAGCAAATTCAACAGCTCAGCGGTTTAACCCACTGCGCCACCAGTTAAACCACATTAGTCAAGTTCAGTGGTAGAAAATCTTGGGTGTAATTGGAAATTTAGAGATCCAGCATGGCATAATAGTTTCAGTGTTAGATTATGATTGTGGAGACTACGTGGAGTAGGAAACTACAGAATAAGACTTTAACAGCTTGAACAATGGACTGTGGATTTTGGAAAATGATTATGGATATGAGATCATGACTCGGCATTGCAGATGGTTTTTAATATTTTTTCGATTGATTGATACATGTTTTAATTGCTTATATGTTTAGATCGTTATATTTTGATGAGGTGTGTCTTATTGTTTACCTGTACAGCATTGAATTTTTGCCGGATTTGTCAGCCGCTTTGAGTCCCTCCGGGATCAAGAAAGACGGGGTAGGAATGAAGTAAATAAACTAATAAAGAGCTTAAAGAGCTGGGCATGTTTAGCCTGAAGAAGAGAAGGCTGAGAGGAGACATGTTAGCCATGTATAAATATGTGAGAGGAAGTCATAGGGAGGAGGGAGCAAGCTTGTTTTCCGCTGCCCTGGAGACTAGGACGTGGAGCAATGGCTTCAAACTACAAGAAAGGAGATTCCATCTGAACATTAGGAAGAACTTCCTGACTGTGAGAGCTGTTCAGCAGTGGAACTCTCTGTCCTAGAGTGTGGTGGAGGCTCCTTTGGAGGCTTTAAAAAATTGTTGCCAGTTATAAGCCACTCTGAGTCCCCCTTAGAGAAGGGCGGGGTACAAATATTTGAAATAAATAAATAATTTTAAAAACACACTGGATGGCCATCTGTCAGGGGTGCTTTGAATACGATTTTCTTGCTTCTTGGCAGGGGGTTGGACTGGATGGCCCATGACGTCTCTTCCAACTCTATGATTCTATGAATCTATAATAAATAACTTTAAATCAGCTGGGTTTCCTTGGGCAAGTCAATTTGCTCAGCTTCAGGAGAAGGCAATGGCAAAATCCCCTCTGAACAAATCTTGCCTTAGGGTGGTCTCAAGTCAGGAATGACCTGAAGGCACACAGAACAACAAAACTGGAAACAGAGGGGTGGGATTTCAGTAAAAGTGTGAGTTCTGACACTTAAATTGCAAGGTATCTTGTCTGTCATCACCGAATGACCATGCTAAAAAGAAGAGAAGATGAAGAAGGGACATGAGAGCCATGTTAAATGTCTGAAAGGATGCCATGTTGAAGATGGAGAAAGTCATGTTGAGAGAGTATAATAAGGAAAAACTTGAGTCAGGGCCCTTCCACACAGCCCTATAACCCAGATTATCAAGGCAGAAAATCCCACAACATATGCTTTGAACTGGATTATCTTGAGTCCACACTGCCATATATTCCAGATCAAAGCAGGAAATGTGGGATTTTATTCAGCTGTATGGAAGGGGTCTCAGATTGCAGGAAACAAGATTAAACCTAAACATTAAGAAACAGCTCCTAATGTTAAGAACTATTCCTCAATTAAATACAGTGCCTTGGACTGTGGTGGAGTCTCCTTCTTTGTGGAGTTTTTCAAACAGACTGGATGGCCATTTGCCAGGAGTGCTTTAATGTTGTCTTCCTACATGAACTGGGTGGCCCTTGTAATCTCTTCTAACTCTAATGATTTTTATTTAATGCATTCTAGGCAATGCGCTCAGCCACGTATGACAACAATGATAGTGAGCAAACCTCACCAGTGTATAAGGAATGATTCATATGCACAACTTGTCAATGTGGAAAATGCTGCCACAGGGCACAAAACTCTAGATGTGCTAGGAAAGACGTACCTCCTGAAGACACCATCAGGCTTCCAGATCCCTTGCTCATTTCTCACTTTCATATAAGTGCCAAAGAGCATGCAGTACACTGTCGCCGCAATGCCAAAATAGTCTGTCTAAAGAAAAGAAAAGACGTTTTGAGAAAAATCTCTTACTCCATAGCACTCAAACTCAGTCATTTGGGGGGGGGGGGGGGAATCCACAGTAGGATAAAAGTATAAATACCCTAAGCTGTTCTTCAACCTTTCCTTGGGACATGTAAACTCACTCTATGAAGCCTCATTTGTCTATAGACCACTTCGGCAAATCTTTATAAAGATTAAAATATTAGTAAAAATAAAGGTAAAGGTTTTCCCTTGACATTAAGTCTAGTCGAGTCCGACTCTGGGGGGTGGTGTTCATCTTTATTTCTATGCTGAAGAGCCAGCGTTGTCTGTAGACACCTCCAAGGTTATGAGGTCAGCATGACTACATGGAGTGCCGTTACCTTCCCGCTAATTCAGTACCTATTGATCTATTTATTTATTTATTTATTTATTTATTTGCTGCATTTATTGACCGCCGCTCTCAGCCCTAGGGCGACTCGCGGCGGTGTACAACATATAAAAGACAATTTACAATCAACATATCACTAATACACACTAAAAATCAACATATCACTAATACACACTAATAAATTACACTAAATGATCCGCTCCGTCTTATCGTAGAATCATAACCAATCTCATAATCCATATTCCGTTCCAGTTGTCATTACCATTTAATGTAGCTCTCAATTAAATGCCTTCTCAAATAGCCATGTCTTTAGGCTCTTACGGAAAGACATAAGGGAGGGCGCCTGTCTGATGTCAACAGGGAGGGCGTTCCACAGCCGGGGGGCCACCACCGAGAAGGCCCTCTCTCTCGTCCCCGCCAGACGTGCCTGTGAGGCAGGCGGGATCGAGAGAAGGGCCTCCCCAGACGATCTCAAGGCCCTCGTGGGCTCATAGGCCGAGATGCAACTCACATTTGCATGTTTTCAAGCTGCTAGGTTGGCAGAAGCTGGGTCTAACAACAGGAGCTCACCCCCCCTCCCTGGATTCAAATCGCTAACCCTTCGGTCAGCAACTTCAGCAGCTCAGCGGTTTAACCTGCTGCACCACCAGGTGACCTAAAATATTAACTTTGTTAAAAAAATGGGAGTGGGGCCCCCAGGCTACATCAAGTCCATAAATCACGCTTTGCCTCCTTCCGGATATACAGATTATGCATGTACCTGGTAATTCCATGGCTTGTGAGTCATCATTTCAATACACTGAAATCCAGATGTTTCACACTTTCCAGTGAACACTGTCCCATCAGGGAAAAGGGTCATGTCTATGCTTTGGCCAAAGTCAATAATTGCCAAGCCATGAGACGTGCCATCGAGGTCACATGTGTCGTTGTCCAAAAACCTTTGTGTTTTAAAGGAGATGAATGATTATTAACACAGAACAGTGCAAGATGTCCGTTTTTTTTAAAAAAAAGGACAATAATAATAATAATACTTTATTTACTGTATATACTCAAGTATAAGCCTACTTTTCAGTCCTTTTTTTAGGCTGAAAAAGTCTCCCTTGGCTTATGCTCGAGTCAAGGTTATTATTTTACTCTGCTATTATTATTATTATTACATTTATTATCTTACTCTATTATTACATTTATTATCTTACTCTATGATTATTATATTTATTATTTTACTCTATTATTATTACATTTATTATTTTATTATATTATTACTGTTATTACAGAAGGTTAGAGATGGACAGTCTTGTCTTAAATTACAGTATTGTTATTACATTTATTATTTTACTTTATTATTGTTACATTTATTATTTTACTCTATTATTATTACATTTATTATTTTACTCTCTTTATTATTATTGGAATGATACATAAGCCCATTGACACTAAAGAAGGTTAGGATAATGGTTTAATCAGTTGGACAGTCTTATCTTAAATTACAGTTTTAAACTACTGATGACTCAATTAATGTAATGTTATTGGTATCTATTTTTATTTGGAAATTTACCAGTAGCTGCGTCATTTCCCACCCTTTGCTATATGCAAGTCAATTTGTTTTCCCAGTTTTTTGTGCAAAAGTTAGGTGCCTCGGCTTATATTTGGGTTGGCTTATACTCGAGTATATACGGCATACCACAACACCATCTCCCATTGGGAGATACCACACATAAAATACGTAATACTTAAAATAAAATTCATCAACATGAAAACAGCATTACATACATAAACCAAGTATATAAATTGGATAAAACAACTATTAAAAATAGCATCAGTTAAAAGATCAATGTAATCAATATAGCAGCCGAGTGCACAGAATGTAAAGTACTAAGTGATTGGCAATCAATTCTGGTTACTGTCTAAACATTATCAAATGCCCGCTGGGGAGTGTGTTCCAGAGGCTAACAACTAAAAACTGAAATACTTGCCTTTCACCAAAAATAAAGTTGTCAGGTTTAATGTCCCCATGAATTATCCCACATTTGTGAAGCTCTTCGACCATGTGGAGGATTTTGATGGTGAAGTAGACGACGAGTGCTTGGGGCATCACCCTCTCTGTCAGTCTTCTGTATATGTTTATGGTGTTCTGAAATCAAGCGTTAATGGGAAGGTGCATAAATATAATGCATCTATAAGTAGACAGATGAAGGAACATTACTGGAATGTTATGTACACAAGCATCGATAATTTGTGTGAGTCACAGACCATGAAGAAAAATACACTGGAGTCTGTACATATAATTTAGCTCCAAATAACTCTAAAACAGGCCTGAGCAAACTTCGGCCCTCCAGGTCGTTTTGACTTAAGCATTAATGAGTATATTTGTAGAATGTGCATATCATAGCAAGGCAAGAACTGAATTCCATAAAGAAGTAAAAGCTGAAGAGGGTCTGCACCAAAGGATGGAGGTAAATACTGTGTTGGCAATCACTTTCAAGAGAGCTGAAATCATTTTGAGTTTCAGATCGTCAGCTCAAACTATGTTGTTTTGGGTTGCTGTGAGTTTTCCGGGCTGTATGGCCATGTTCCAGAAGCATTTTCTCCTGACGTTTCACCCACATCTATGGCAGCCATCCTCAGAGGTTGTAAGGTATGTTGGAAACTAGGMAAGTGCAGTTTATATATCTGTAGACTGTCCAGGGTGGGAGAAACAACTCTTGTCTGCTTGAGGCAAGTATGAATGATGCAATTGGCCACTTTGATTAGCATTTAACGGTTTGCTGATGTCTTAGTCATCTGCAAACCCAATCAGCAATTAAGCCACACAATTTACAGAAAACTTGCTGATAGATGCCTAAATAAAAACTCTAACTATCACCCAGGTCAAAAAAGAAGCACAATTAAAGCCCTGGCAGACCATGCCAAAAAAAAAATAAAAAAAAATCTGTGACTCCATCTTCTTCAAGATGAACTGAACCACCAAAACTGGGCCCTACAGGGCAATGGCTACTGTACCACAGACATCAGAAGAGCTGCAAGAMCCCAAGGACAAGCCACGAGAGTAAAGATGAAGATCCACCCAGAGGAAAAGTGTTCTTGCCGTATATCAAGGGAACCACTGACCGCATAAGGAAGCTGATGAAGAAACACAACATACAAACTATCTACAGACCCACTAAGAAAGTCCAACAAATGCTATGTTCAGCAAAGGACAAGAAGGATCCTCTCACCTCTACAGGAGTCTACTGTATACCATGCAGCTGTGGACAAGTTTACATAGGGACCACCAAACGCAGCATTGCCCAAACACGAATCAAGGAACATGAAAGGCACTGCAGACTACTTCAACCAGGGAAGTCAGCCATAGCAGAGCACCTGATGAACCAACCTGGACACAGCATATTATTTGAGAACACAGAAATGCTGGACCACTCTAACAACTACCATGTCAGACTACACAGATAAACCATTGAAATCCACAAGAAGCAGGTGGATAATTTCAACAGAAAGAAGTAAATGAAAATGAACAAAATTTGGCTACCAGTATTTAAAAAACCCTCTAAAATCAGGGCCGTAAAGAAAGAGCAACACCCAAAAAAATAGGGGAATTCCAGACAGGAAACAATCACGGCCAGCTAACACCTCTCAAGAAAGGATCTTCCCAGGCAGGAAGCAGCCAGGCCTTGAAGCTGCAAGGCTATTCAATGCTAATCAAGCTGGCCAATTACAACATTCACACTTGTCTCAAGCAAACAAGAGCTCTTTCTCCCACCCTGGACATTCCATAGATGTATAAACCCCTCTTGTCCAGTTTTCAACAGACCTCACAACCTCTGAGGATGCCTTCCCTAGATGTGGGCGAAATGTCAGGAGAGAATGCTTCTGGAACATGGCCATACAGCCCAGAAAACTCACAACAATCCAGTGATTGCAGTCATGAAAGTCTTCAACAACAAATAAGGAATTTATTTCCTAAAGGTTTTGTACTGTCACACCTACCTAAGGCAAGGTTAGGAGTTATTTTAAGGAGGCAGCACCACAGTAGTAAACAACACTGAGGAAAAGGCCAAATATCTAAGCGCAGGCCCATTACATTACAGAGATAGCAGAAGGACCTGACAAGAGTAGTCCCTGATAAGCTTTATTGATGCGTAGACCAAGATTATGCTTACCAGCAAAGTCCCATAACTGTAAAGTTCCCCAACTAAAATGCTTCCATTATGGAAGAAATGACCAGAATAGAAGTGGATGAACAGGTGACGCAGGCTTGGCTTCAGCCTCTCCGTCAGCTGAGCAGCTATGTAGAATTCCCAGGGACTTGCAGGCTTCTGCACCTACAAAGCAAAGAGTTTCATTTTGCAGATAAATGCACAATAGGCACAACACAATAAGTACTCCTCCAGCTATAGAACCCTCCATATAATGTAAAAAACAACAAATCAACAAGGTAAAATTGGAACCATGACAAAAATATTAGACTGAAAACAAGAAATGGCAGAATCCCAGCTCCCAAATGAGACCACTCTCTGATTATCTGCCCAAGTGTCTTTAGCTGCAGCATGACAGGTGGAACCATATCCACTTACCTTCAGTATTACTTTACGATTATTTTTTGTGTTATCCATATCGAGAACAGAAGCTTGATAGACTTGAGCAAAAGCTCCTTCCCCGAGTAAATAATCAACATGGAAGGACATGGAACCTGAATAAATGGGAAATGCAGAGATCAGGTCTCAGGATGGAGCAAATACTATTCATTAACACAGTATAGAAAATTATATTGATGTTCAATCTCTCTGCAGTACCTTCCTTAAGAATTCTGCAAAAAAGAGGCCCAAACACCATCCCGTCGTATTTGTATTCCCAATGGAGATTACGGATAAGGTGGGGGATGCTCCTGTTATCACTAGTTAGCAGGCCATTTTGTGTAGGGTGCGGCAAAGAACGTACTTCTAAAGCAAAAAGGATTTGTATTTTGATAGTAGCTCAGTCAGGGTCAATTTGGGACCTAAGCTTCCCAATGAGAAAAAGGACAGGGTGTGTTTTAAAAAATGGGAGAATGAATGGAAATTAGAGGGTATGGAAGGACACTACTTTCTACAAGTTCATTCTATTGCTCTTGTTAATTTTATATGTCTGGTTTTAAATACGTTATTGGTTGTAATGTTGAAATATTGTATTTTACATGCTGCATGGCACCATTGTGTACTATTTATAAGCCGTCCTGAGTCCCTATGGGAGATGGTGGCGGGGCAAAAATAAAACTTTTTATTGTCGAAGGCTTTCATGGCCGGAATCACTGGGTTGTTGTAGGTTTTTTTGGGCTATATGGCCATGTTCTAGAGGTATTCTCTCCTGACGTTTTGCCTGCATCTGTGGCAAGCATCCTCACTACCTCTGAGGATGCTTGCCATAGATGTAGGCGAAACATCAGGAGAGAATGCCTCTAGAACATGGCTATATAGCCCAAAAAACCCTAAAACAATCCAAAACTACTTCTTCTTCTTCTTCTTCTTCTTCTTCTTCTTATTATTATTATTATTATTATGCTCATGCATGAAACACTAAGGTTTATTATTATGTTTACTTGGGTGTGAACAGAGGTATTTAGTCTTAGAATCATAGAGCTGGAAGAATACTCGTGGGCTCGTGGGCCATTTAGTCCAACCCCCTGCCAAGAAGCAGGAAAATCACACTCAAAGTACACCTGACAGATGGCCATCCAGCCTCTGCTTAAAAGCCTCCAAAGAAGGAGCCTCCACCACATTGCATTTCTGAGTTGCTAAGAATTACAATTTATGAAAAGCCTTCCTATAGATTGAATGGAACTACTCTAATAGTTAAAGCATAAAACTTTCAGTGTGCCTTCTCTATTTTATAACAAGATGCCTCTTCCCAACATGGAGTATCTGTTCAGAAATATTTGGGACCAGAGATGTTTGGGATTTCAGTTTATTTTGGAATACCTGCATTTACAGACACATATATAATGGGGTATCTTGGAGATGAGGCCCAAGTCTAAACACAAAAATCATTAATAAATTCATTATATATACCTTATACACAAAGCCTGGCATCATTTTATACAATACAGTATTATGAATAGATTTGCACACAAAACAAAATTTGTGTATATAAACCCATCACAAAGTAAAAGTGTTATGTAAAAGTGTCATGACAGTGAAATATTTTGGATTTCAGTTTTCTGGGTAACTTGCACATGAAATCACAGTTGTAGCATTTTGTTTGGCCCTCCAGGTGTTTTGGACTTCAGCTCCCATGATTCCGAACAGCTGGTAAGCTAGCTGAGATTTCTGGGAGTTGAATTCCAAAACACTTGGAGGACCAAAGGTTGGGAAACACTGGGCTAGAATATCATACATGGATCTGTCTACTGTTAACAGCCAAACATATTTCCCAAAATATGTTTTAACTATGCAATGGTACTAATGGCTTATGTTTACTTCACGATAAAAGAAGATGAGCAAGACAAACTAAATTCAGCATCATGGTTTCATCTTTTGTAAGTATTTATGCTGAAATTTTTGTTTCTTTCTATTAATTAAGAGAACCAGTGACACTAAAATACCACCCACAAAATGGAATGTCTTATCTTATACTTCATCTGATCTCTGAGACTAATGCAGACATTGTCAGTACACTTTGAAAGACGTCTTAGTAGCCAAAGAACTTTGTCTAAAAAAAGTGAATTTTGTTCCAATATCCACATCACTGATTAGGACTTCTCTTTTTGTGTAAAGTAGTGATACTAGACAAATAAAATATTTACAACAGAAAGGAGGAAACCATGAAAATGAACAAAATCTGGCTACCAGTATTAAAAAACTCTAAAATTAGAACAGCACAACAGAGAGGAAACAAACAAGGACATCTAATCACTTCTCAACAAAAGATTGCTCCAGGCACTGCCAGGCAATCAAATGCTAATCAAGGTGGTCAGTTGAAACATTCACATTTAGCCCCTGCAGACAAGAGTCTTTTGTCTCACCCTGGTTATTCCACAGATATATAAACCCTTTTTCCTAGTTCCAAGAGACCTCACTATTTCTGAGGACGCTTACCATAGATGCAGGCGAAACGTCAGGAGAAATGCCTCTAGAACATGGCCATATAGCCCGAAAAAACCTACAACAACCCAAAATCTTTACTGCCTTTTGCTGCAGAATTAATCAAAAATCCACCTTGCTCGTCTAAACACAAACAACTTCTGTGTTGAGTCCCAGCATCAAGAAGGTCGCCACTAATACACACTGGTCTCTATTTTGAGCAGTGTTGTTGTCCACAACATACAATAAAATAGGTTTATAAAAGGAGTAGCTGTAATCATGGCATACAAATCTTACCCAATCTCACTTCAGTCTTCGGTCTGAGAACTGGAACATTCGATCTCCATTCAAAGGTATTGGAATAGGCATTTATGGGTTTGCGCAATGAAGATAGGAGCTGGCAGGTTAAGCTCACATCCCAAGGGTTTTCAATTACTTCATAAGAGAAGAGAAGCTAGTTAGTTAGACAAGAATCAGGGAAATACAAGACACGTTTTTAGCATCTCAAAAAACATAGCCGAACCAAAACAATATGTGGGTTAAATCTCTTAGTCCAGGCCATAAAGAGCTTCAGACTTAAAGAAACCCACTTTCTGAGTGTTCACAGGCAACAAGAAACATTGAGAAACCGGGCATATTCACAATATAGTTTTGCAGCAGTTTGATACCACTTTAAGTGCTATTATTTCATCCTTCAGCATCCCTAGGACCTGGAATTTGGTAGCTGTTTCTAATTCACTTATAAACCACTGTAGCACTATAATCCCTATATGTCCTATAATCCTAAGTAGCTCACAAAACTGAAAATCTCAATAATCCTTTGATGGAATCATGACAGTATAAAATGGCATCCAAAATCTGAGTATTACCACAGAAAACAGGCAGATAGATATGGAAATACAGAGCTTTAAGACCCCATGCACCCATTTTTAAAAAACACCACTGTGGCCCGTCATAAAGAACTTATACATATATGTGTGTAAGTGTGTGTGTGTGCATATTATATATATACTAGTTTGGGTACCTGGCATTAGCTGGGTTATTAGAAGTCATTTTTTTATTTTACAAAATGCATAAGGTTATGGATGAACTACAACTCACACCATGCCAGGTTACCCCCTGAAACTCCATCAATACTTAAAAGTTTGTCATGTTGGGCAACTTTACTCTAGGTGTATCATCAGTGGGGTTCAGTGTGCTCTCCAGCTGCAGGATGAATTACAACTCCCTCTATGGTGGGTCAGTCTCTTCAAATCCCTCCAGTACATTCAGTTGATCATGGGGGTTCTGTGTGCCAAGATAGGTCCGGGTCCATCATGGGTGGTGTGCAGAGTGTTCTTTGATTGCAGGTGAACTATAAATGCCAGTACCTATAACTAACAAATGTCAAGGCCAACTCCCCTCAAAACCCACCAGTAATCATATTCATATGATTACCAGAATGGCCTGACTATGACTGTGCACAATGTGGTTTTAAAGTTGTAATTGTAATGTTTTATATGTTTTAATGCTCTTAATCACACTTCAATTTTTAATTGAAATATTTATTTACCATAATTGTATATAGGATGTATATTGCTTTTAAGGCATTGAATTATTTGCCTATGCTGTAAGCCGCCTTGAGTCACCTTCGGGGTTGAGAAAGGTGGGATATAAATATAGTAAATAAATACAGAAATAAATAAATAAAATATCTTGGCAAATCGTGTATGCTTGCCAAATTTGGTGCAGATCCATCATTGTTTGTGTTGACAATGCTCTCTGTAGGTGAATTATAAGTCCTATACCTGAGTGACAGGGGGGGGGGGGCAGGGAACAGTTCTACCTTGTCTCCTGTGCTATTCTAATAATATAATATATATTGTATATACATATAATATTTATAATATTATAATGTAATGCAATATAATACTACTAATAATATGATATTATAATTATATATTTATATTACATGTAATATTACTAATAATATTACAATATAATTGGTATAGTACAATATAGCAATATTTAAAACTGATATCTTACTATTCTAATAATATAATATATTGTGTGTATATATACCTTGTAAGCTGCTCTGAGTCCCCTTTGGGGTGAGAAGGGCGGCATATAAATGCCGTAAACAAATAAATAAATAAACATTACAGTGAGTTTCCCCCAAAATTCTCCAGCATTTTTCTTTGGTCATGGGGGGTTCTGTGTGCCAAATGTGGTCCAGGTCCATTGTCAGTGGGGCTCACAGTGCTCTGACATGATGCAAAGTGAACCACAACTTCCATCATGCCTCACCGCCGTTCCTAACTATGAGTTGTTGTCGGAAGTTTGTAACACAGGGGCTGCCTGTGTATATTTTTGAGGGTAAAAAATCTAGTAGTGGGGGTGGCCAGCAAGATGCCATCTGAAAAGGTCCTCTGAGAGACTAATGTATTCTGTAACCACCAATAGTTGCCAACTCTAAGCTAAGTAACCAAGAAGACTATTTACTTTCTTACATTCCGCTGGACATCCTAACTGATGCAAGACCTTACCTCTTCCCTGAGTCGCTTTGCCTATATGTCCTGAAAAGCCACTGAATGGTGTTGAGGCAAGATGAGCAGCACGAGCAAAATCCTTGGAGCTGTTTGGACTGGGAGCCAGGGTTTTATTGCAGTGATTTGCCCACACAGTGAAGTCACCTGTCATGCCCTCAGGTAGCTGAGTTACCTCCTAAGGATGACAAAATACACACAGGATTGTATCCACCTTTCCATTCAAAGCAGAGAACTGAATTTCACCCATCAATCCATGTTAAAAAGCCAGTTTGGGTTACAACTCCCAGAACCCCCAGCTGAAAAACCTGGAGGGTGGGGGCTACCCTAATCTCTTTAGGGAGGGCATTCCAAAGCAAGGGGGACACTACCAAGAAGGCCGCCTCTCTTGTCCCCACCAACTGCACTTGAGACGGAGGTGGGACTCAAAGAAGGACCTCTCTGCTCGGTTCATAGAAGGAGATGCAGTCTCATAGCCACGTATTCTAAAAATTGAATTATTTTTTTAAAAAGCTCAGGAGGTAGAACGTCCCCCTCCTCACCAATTTGTATATGAACTCATTTTAAAAAACGAATGAAAGTCATAAGTCCTAAACAATCTGCTAAACACTAGAAAATCCACTGGATCACAATCTCTGTTCTAACAACACTGCAGAAAATTCCATTGAGATTCATTTTGAAAAGAAGGGGGATACAAATCTAATTCAATAAATAAGGAGAGTCCTGCTAGTACTAACAAAAAGCCTCTTGCCATTGCATTGTGTTCACAGTGACCAATAATATGAAACCCCTTGTTTGTGTTCCCAAACAACCTAGACAGAGTGCTTCTCCTCATACTGGAGATAACATACAGTCATGATGATTGACTTTATGTTACCTCCAATGTGAGATTAATAAACTAATTCTCCAATAGGTTTACAACCCACCCCTACAAATATTCAAGTTGGCCATTACCATTTTTCATTGTATTGATTTCCCTAACTTATTATATTATGGACCTTCTTCAGAAGGTTGTTTGAAAATTACACACTTTGTAACAGGCATGGGCAAACTTTGGCCCTCCAGGTGTTTTGGAGTTCAACTCCCACAATCCCTAACAGCCAATAGGCTGTTAGGAATTGTGGGAGTTGAAGTCCAAAACACCTGGAGGGCCAAAGTTTGCCCATGCCTGCTTTATAACATGGGTGAGAGTTGTAGTCACACCTCTAGAAGCTGGACTACAACTTCCAACACCCCTATTGTCCACTGGTAATGGACAACAGAAGTTATATGAGCCAGCAACACATGGAAACCCAGATGTTGCCGGTCTGTAATTCCAATTGTCCATTACCAGTGGAATTGCAAATAGTCCCTTCTCATTTTATACAGACTGCAGAGCAAGATCAACAACTAGATCCCAATAGTATATTGACCGAAACTCATATGAAAAATTAATACAGCATTGCTAATACTAAATTAGGTTGTTGTGAGTAAAACATTGGGAGAAAGTAAGGATAGAACCATAAAAATAAGCTAACAAAGAAACCACTGATAAGTATCTTCATTACAAAGGCCATATACTTACTGCTGGTTTGGCTGCACAGTCTACTATGGGACGTTCACCCAAAACTCTGGCTTCTGTTGACTTTGGACATGGTTGTGGGACTCTAGAAAAGAGAGACAACTTCAGTCTTCAGGTAAAACAAATTACGCAGAAATCAAATGGTTCACAATAGTAGCTGTTCTGTATGCTATACTAGCAGAATGCAAAAGAGAAAAAGGCTATGAGTGCACTCACATGATCTAACTCTGTATTAAACATTATTACAAATGAGTTGACTTATATGCTCCCCTTCCACTTTCCTTTCTGAGTTTGCAGGGAGGAAAATGATTAAATACAGTTGAATGCCTCAAGCCACTTACTAAAATCTGCATTGTGGTATCTGAAGCAGGGTTTGTTGTCGGCATACAAACTCTGGCTTGTTGGAACCATGACTTGTCGTAACGTCTGTATCTACAACTATGTCTCCCTGGCTCATCTCTCTAGAGGTCAACTCAGAGTCTCTCAGGGGTGCTTTGAATGCAATATTCCTGCTTCTTGGCAAGGGGTTGGACTGGATGGCCCATGAAGTCTCTTCCACCTCTATGATTCTATGATTCTATATGCAATTTATGGCTTTTAATTAAATGTTTAAAATACAAATACTGAAAAGTAAGACAACAAAAGAAAGGAGAGAAGGTTAAAAAAGGGAAGTGGAGGCTATGAACATGGGCTGAGCATTTTGATTAATGGAAGATGACAATGGAAGTTGACTATGTATCCAAAAATAAATGTTATTGACTTCCGTAAAATATACATTTGTGCATGGGTAAAGCACATCTTATTGCTGAGGAATGAATGACGAATGTTTATCTTTCTAACTCTGGAGTATGAGTCTTTAAGTAACAGTAAAGGAATATAAGGTTCAACTACATTGGCCACTATGTCAGGAAAATAATTTAAAAGTCGCGTATAAGCCGAGTTTGAAAAAGCCCCGCTCAACTTGTGCTCAAGTCAAAGTATTTATTATTTTGACTATGTTATTATTATTATTTTTATTACATTTATTATTTTACTATTACTATATTTACTATTATTATTACATTTGCATTATTTTACTCTATTATTTTATTACACTTAGTAGTTTATTCTATTTATTATTGTTATTATTTCATTTATTATTTTACTCTCTTTATTATTATCGGAAGGATAGGTAAGCACATTTATATGGAAGACAGTTAGAATAATGGTTTAATCAGAGTTGGGCAATCTTATCTTAAATTACAGTTTTATGCATTTAACACTGATGCCTCAATTAATGTAATTTTATTGGTCTCTATTTTTATTTTGAATTTTACCAGTAGCTGCTGCATTTCCCACCCTTGGCTTATACTTGAGGTCAATAAGTTTCCCAGTTTTTTGTTTGGATCGGCTTATATTTGCATTTACATGGTACCATCATTCACAAATATCAAATATTTTTCTAAATCTAAACTGCTAGATTGCATTACATTTAACCAAAAAGGGGCAATCACTGAATACATCCCTAACGGAAGACACAAGGAAGTGTTGCCTGTGTTACATTTATCAACACTGAGGTGTAGTCAACAAATTCTCCCTGAAAAGATGTACTGACATGCAATGTATCTGAAACACCAATATTTCCTGAATCAAACATAGTTTTAAATCTAAAGCTAAGGCAATTCTCCTTTGACTGACTTGCATAAGACAGTAACTCTTTATTCTACTCAAAATTTCTACACTTTTCCTCAAGTCTCCAAATTTCATTCCCTGAACTTTATGAGACAATGCCATGACATTAATCCACACACATACACAGGCTATTTCAACTCACCCGGCATTATCATCTTCAAAAATAGTAAAAGCAGGTGGATCAGGCACAGTAGATTTATTGACATTGGGGGCCTCACATGGTCCTAAAATGAATTTTTAGAAGGTGAAGGAAAATAATATAAATAAGTTAGTCTTTTCCAAATAAGGAAGGAGAGAATACTGAAGATTAGGATCAATCAGATGTGTGTTCCCCGATACTATTGGACTACATGTCTAATCATCTTTTCATACATTGGCATAAGTATATTAGGGCTGAAGCAGTGGTTCCCAACCTTTTTTTGACCAGGGACCACTCTCCAAGATTAGTACCAAAAGGGTTACGAATCGGTTTTTGGTCAACTTTAGATTCGGTTTGGTTACTTGGGTGCCGATTCAGAAAATTGCATTGATAGACCACATCAGCTCTAGTTTCTGATACAAAACATATGCCATCTAGTAGTTGCCATCTGCTCACCCATAGAAAACCATATTTAATAAGCCTTGGCGCTATAAGAGGGTTTTGTGAGACCACTCACTCTTGTTGCAACACTGTAGTAATGGTGAGGCCACGGATCACATTTTAGTTCTTGAAGACCACTGGTGTTCCATGGACCACAAGTTGGGAGTCACTGATCTAAAGGGTCATATGCCACATGCACACTGACTTATCAGAACATTGGCATGTTAATCCGAGCTTCATTGTGTATTAAATAAGTTTGCTCCAATTTTTACCTGCCACTCTCCTAATTTCATTACAGAAACCTCTGATGTGCTTTACAAATCAGGCAACTGTTGATGTGTCTGTGCTTAACGCAGATTCAGGCCTCTTCTACACTGCACTACCCACATCCACATTATCTGCCTTGAGTTGGATTATATGACTCTACACTGCCACATAATCCAGTTCAAAGAAGATAATCTGAATTTTATATAGCAGTGTAGAAGGGGCCTCACTAAGGGCCAAGGAAACAAGAATATTGTCTCCTTCTGAATACTCTGGCGGTTGACTGCCTCCTTCACCTGAATACTCTGATGGTTGACTTCTGCAAATTCCTTCCTATTAGCAAAAGATTTCTCTTCGACCTCAAATAGCCTAAAACATGGTGGAATTGCCCTTTGTCTTCAAGGTGACACAAAGGGACAAATATATTCATTCTGAGGCTCCCAAGGGTGCCCTCAACTATTACACAGGTATAGTCTTAAAATCAGAACCATTACGGCTCCAATTCTATCATCAGCTCTATCACTCCCAAGGGTGCCTTGGTGGTGCAGTGGGTTAAACCGCTGAACTGCTGAACTTGCGGACCGAAAGGCATTTCAAATTCGCGAAGTGGGGTGAGCTCTCAATGTTAGCCCCAGCTTCTGCAAAACATGCAAATGTGAGTAAATCAATAGGTACTGCTTCTGCTGGAAGGTAACAGTGCTGCTCCATGCAGTCATGCTGGCTTTGGGGGTGCCTACAGACAACGCTGGCTCTTTGGCTTAGAACTGGAGATAAGCACCACTGATTCAGTAAGATAGTAATTCATCTTTCTGACTCTTGGCATGAGAAATTCAACAGTGTATTCCTATTTTGGAATTAGCCAAGCTGAAAGGATACTATTGAAAATACAACTTCTCTGACTTCTGAATGCTGGTAATTAGTAGATTGGAAAAGGAAGATTCATCAGCGTGATGTATCAAGCATTTGTTATACCTTTATTTCTACAGTAGGCCTCAAATTGCTCTTCCTCTTCTGAAAGCATAGTGATGTCTCTTATCGAAGGTGCGTGGAACACATTCATTATGAAACCTTGAAAGGCAAAATAAAATAAAATTTAACAGGAGCAGTAAAAAAAAAACCAAATCCTAAACACATTGAAACAAGAACACAGCTTGCTGAATTCACACATGTCTGTCGCCCGCTTTAGTCCTGTGCCAGAATTATAGTGCATCACTTTACACTAAAGCAGTCCTAGGGTTTACCTTGCCCTTCACGATCAGCTCTCATCCACCCATCCAAAACCTTCCCAGTGGCCTAAACTTTAAAATGAGTCCAAGAATGAGCAATTTACCACAGGGTTCATTATGCCAGAATGTTTGTATATACATATATTCAGCCTTTCTGTGCTGAAAGCCACGCTGGTTAACAACATCAAAACAATTCAATGCAAGGTCAACCAAGAAGGAATACAGGCCATACATTCTTTTTTGGAGGAGAAATTCTCACTTCTAATTATGCAAATTGCCAGACTTCCCAGCATATCCATGTTCTCAGGCCCCAGTCTGAAATGCAGGTCAAATTTATATAATACAGAGCATGCTTCAAACTCTTTAAAACAGATTGATGGGGGTTCCATCTGCACAGAGGATTTTTTGAATAAGGAGTCCTATACCTACCCAGAGCTTCTTTTGTATGAAGAGTTGGAGATGGCAGTACTTTAGACAGTGTCAAGTTTGATGTGTTTGGAGTTGCCTGACGATTTTCAAACAATGCAGAAGAGTCTCTACTACCTGAAGCTTAAAAGATAAAAAGAATGCTTTAAGTAACTTTTACTGTATATACCCAAGTATAAACCGAGTTTTTCAGCCCCCTTTTTAGGTCGGCTTATAATCGAGTCAAGGTTATTTATTATTTTACTCTATTATTATTATTATTGTTATTATTATTATTTCAAACTCTTTATTATTACATTTATTATTTTTCTCTATTTATTATTGCCATTATTACATTTATTATTTTATGTTATTGTTACATTTATTATTTTACCCTATTATTATTATATTTATTATGTTACTCTATTTCTACTGTTATTATTACATTTATTATTTTACTCTATTATTATTGGAAGGATACATAAGCACATTTACATTGAAGAAGGTTAGAATGGTTTCATCAGAGTTGGACAGTCTTGTCTTAAATTACAGTTTTATGTAAATATTTAAAAACATTTAACCTACTGATGCCTCAATTAATGTAATTTTATTAGTATCTACTTTTATTTCGAAATTTACTAGTAGCTGCTGCATTTCCCAACCTCGGTTTATATTCAAGTCAATAAGTTTTCCCAGGTTTCTTTGTGGTAAAATTAGGTGCCTCAGTTTATATTCGGGTGGGCTTATAATTGAGCAAATACGGTATATCACAATAGCCATTTTTATGAATTCATTGGTTTCCTGCTGTCTTACAGAACCCATAAAAAAAGGTAAAGGTTGTCCCCTGACATTAAGTCCAGTCATGTCTGACTCTGGGGTGTGGTGCTCATCTCCATTTCTAAGCCGAAGAGCCAGCGTTGTCCGTAGACACCTCCAAGGTCATGTGGCCGGCATGACTGCATGGAGCGCCGTTACCTTCCCGCCGTAGCGGTACCTATTGATCTACTCACATTTGCATGTTTTCGAACTGCTAGGTTGGCAGAAGCTAGGGCTGACAGCGGAAGCTCACGCCGCTCCCCGGAATCGAACCTGCGACCTTTCGATCAACAGGCTCAGCAGCTCAGTACTTTAACCCACTGCGCCACCGGGGGCTCCAGATAGACTATTGCAAAAGCAGTAGAGGTGATAATTATTACCTCTAATTTCCATGGAATGCTGCAGCTTCTGATGAGAATTGTTCAAGTACCTGCACAGAAAAGTCAGCATATGTTTTATTCAGTATCAGTTTCATTCTAAGGCAGTCTAATTCCTATATCAAGGTCCCCTGGGAACAGAGGACACTGGGTGCTGCTCTGATCTCTGCAGCTTCAGGGGACAGGGCAGCACCAATCTCAGGCAACAATGCCCTCCGCGTCTGCTGATTTGTAGAGTTGGGGGCGGTTTGGAAATATTTGTGATTTTTCCACTTTTGTGGGTTTCTATGCCTTTAACTCAGGCATGGGCAAACTCAGGCTGAGGGCTTGATGGGGCCCCTTGTGCTCTTTTCTCAGCCCCTCCCCCTCACCATCCTATGCTTCCTTCTCTCTTTCCTTCCTCCTTCCATTCCTTCCTTACCTGCCTCTTTCTCACTCACTCCTTCCTTTCCTTCCACCCTTTCGTGGAGTCCCCCTGGAGCTGCCCGAAGTCCCCCCTATTTGTGCCTCCTTCCCTCTTTCCTCCCTCCTTCCCTGTATCCATTCCCTTCCATCTCCCTTCCTTCTATCCTTCTCTCCCTCCTCCCCTCCCTCCCTTTTGTCCTCCCTTCCTTCTCTCTTTCCTCACTCCTTCCCTCTCCCTCTTTCTCCTTCCTTCATCTTTCCTTCCTTGTCTCTTTCCTCCCTCCCTTCCCTTCCACCCTTCTCTTCTTTCCTCCCTCCCTCCATTCTCTCTTTCCTTCCTCTTTTCCTCCTGGGGGATGTTTAGCTGAGAGAAGAGAAGGTAGAGAGGGAACATGAGAACCATGTTTGAAGATTTAAAAGGGTGTCCCACTGAAGAGGAGGACAACAACAACTAATTATTTATAGACCGCCCTCTCTAATTATACTCGAGGGGCCTGAGGACAGTTTACACACAAAACAGGCAAACATTCAATGCCCATAAACAAATACAGACACCTCAAAATAGTGTAAAATAATAACCGTAAACTTGTAACAAAAGAGAAATTAACATCAAAATGAAAAACGGAATATGAGTAATCAAATAAATATTTGACTGAAAACATTAGGAAGAACTTCCTAAGAGTAAGGAGCTGTTGGAGAGTGGCATAGGCTGCCTGGGAGTATGGTGGAGTCTCCTTCTCTGGAGGCTTTTCTGCAGAGACTGTCTATTGGGAGTGTTTTGATTGTGCCTTCTTGCATGGCAGGGGGTTGGACTGGATGACCCTTGGAGGTCTCTTCCAGCTCTAGGATTCTATATCAGGAGTAGGCAATACGAGGTCTCATGGATACTCTTTTTGTCTCCAGCCAACCATCTTATCCTGACCAAGGCTGACCCTTTTTGGGATCCAAACGTTTCCTGTGTTTTCTTCACTTTCTGCCTCCGAAAGAGAAGAGGAAGGTGACGAGCAGGCAGGGAGGAGGCTTGGGGAGAACCCTCCCCTCTCCTGGTCTGCCCAGCCCACCCCGGCCCACTATGCGGCCCCCAAGTTACAAAGTTTGCCCATGCCTAACTCCTCTCAATGTGAAGAGCTGACTGTATTTCTGATATCCCAGATCCAAACTATTTAGGCCTTCCTAGGTCAAAACCTGTTCAGTGAATTCAATTCAGAAGCCATCTGGAACCTAGGGCAGTTCTTGTAATGTCAGTGTTACATGATTTCTCAAGCGCACACTTGACAATAGCTGATTGCTGTATTTCGCATTACTATTATTACCATTACTTCCATTTTGTCCACTATGCCATATTTTTGCCAAAACCAAAACTCTAGATGTCTTACACCACTAGCTGTCACTCAGGCATGAGCAAATAAGTTTGCCCATGCCTGCTCTAGCTTCTGAACAGTCCCATACAGGGTAATTAACAAAAGGGCCATTGTGTTCACATCTGTTTTCAATAGGAAAGGGTGCAGGAAACAATCTGGGGTGATTCATTCTTGGGATGCTTGGGTAAAATTAAGACAAAATATTGAAACATACACTCACACAGACATCTAGTTTTTTAACTTACTCTTCGCTGTTGTGAAAACTGTGGGAGACGACAGCACATTTCTGTGGTGGCAGGACCGAACTGTCACAGCTGACTTGGAGTCTATGGAAACTGTTCTCACAATCTTCAAGACCAAGCTGAACTTTGGCTGTGTCACAAGAAATATAAAATGTAGATTTGATATGTGTGAGCATGAATGGAATTGTATGGAAGATGAATGAATCACAGGTAATAATTTTGGAGATACCATTCTAAAAGACCAAGGACAGCAATGACTAAATCATTTACTACCTGCTTGCTGGACTGTAATTAAAAGTTGCTAATGAAAACCGAAAAGCAAACTGTGATAAGAACTGTGACAGTGATAAGAGAATAAGTTTACAATGTTAAGAAGGAAGTCAACACAAGGATAAGACGGATAACGCGGCGCTCAGGGCGCACACAACTCCTTAGTTGCACCAGATCCACTGGCTGCCAGTCTGCTACCGAGCACAATTCAAAGTGCTGACTTTAGCCTATAAAGCCCTAAACCAGTGGTTCTCAACCTGGGGTCCCCAGATGTTTTTGGCCTTCAATTCCCAAAAATCCCAACAGCAGGTAAACTAGTTAGGATTTCTGGGAGTTGTAGGCCAAAAACATCTGGGGACCCCAGGTTGAGAACCACTGCCCTAAACGGTTCTGGCCCTGCTTATCTGTCTGAAAGTATCTCTCCTTATGAACCATCCAGGAATTTAAGATCTTCTGGAGAGGCCCTGCTCTCTGTCCCGCCTTCTTCACAGGTTCGGTTGGAGGGGACGAGAGATAGGGCCTTTTCAGTGGTGGCCCTGCGGCTATGGAATGCCCTCCCCAGAGATATTAGGTCGGCTCCCACTCTCCTAACATTCCGAAAAAAGTCAAAACCTGGCTTTGTGAGCAGGCTTTCTCAAATGCAATGTAGTAAATAATTACTTGACCTCGGAACGGCTGGACAATTGCAATCGGATAAAGATTCTGGAAATTAGATACGGAGGATTTATGCTTTATGTTTTATCGATTTTTTTTTTATGGAATGTTAAGGATGTTTATATGCTTTTAACTGTTTATATTATTGTAGCATCGAATTGTGCCGGTTTTGTAAACCGCCCTGAGTCACCCTCGGACGGAGAAGGGCGGTATAGAAATACAGTAAGTAAATAAATAAATAACACAAATCAAGAAGAATCAACATCAGTCCAGACATCTATCATTAATTTACAACTTTAGAACTACATCAGTAGAAAATTCCTATAAAAGACTCAATCTAACAATTCTCAAATTGTGACAGACAGAGACGCTGTTCACCTGCTATGCTCCACTCCATTGGGAAGGAGAGAGATAGTGTACATATGGAGAGTGTCATACCTGCTATGGGAAAGCAGGATTCTGTACACTTTGGGCCTCCTTTTCTCAAGGGAAGAGGAAGAAGTGCATTTTGGAGTCATGATATGTTTGCAGGGAGTCAGGTTCTGCTGTATGGAAAACAGGGATCTGATCCTTGGCATTTTGGAGTTATGGAAGTTTTTGTACTATGCGTTGGTAGGTTCAAGGAAGCAGGGTCTGGCCTAAACAGGTGTTCTTCTCCAAGGAGGGAGAAAAGGATATGGTAATATTTGTATGCATGATGATAGATGCATGCACACGTGTGCGAAGTCTAAGTGAAAGTATAAACCCCTTTCTTTCTTTCTTTCTTAGCCAATATAACCATAAGTTGTTTGTAAATCCAATGTAGTGACATAGAATCTGGATATCTTTATGTCAAATGTGTAAAAGTGTAAAAGTTCTGATATACCCTTTCACCCTGGAAATTGCAATAAAAAGAACCTAAGTATTGTCGAAGGTTTTCATGGCCGGAATCACCTCTGCAGGAGTCTACCGTATACCATGCAGCTGTGGACAAGTCTACATAGAGACCACCAAACACAACAAGGCCCAAACACGAATCAAGGAACATGAAAGGCACTGCAGACTACTTCAACTAGAGAAGTCAACCATAGCAGAGCACCTGATCTACCAATCAGGACACAGAATATTATTTGAAAACACAGAAATGCTGTCCCACTCTCACAACCACCATGTCAGGCTACACAGAGAAGTCATTGAAATACACAAGCATGTGGACAATTTCAACAGAAAGGAAGAAACCATAAAAATGAACAAAATCTGGCTACCAGTATTAAAAAAAACCCTAAACAGTAAATAAAGAACAACACTCAAACACAGGGGAACCTCAGGCAAGAAATAGTCAGGGACAGCTAATCACCTTTCAACAAAGGATTCCCCCGGGCAGTAACAAGTCACACCTAAAAACTGTCAGGCCATCAAATGCTAATCAAGGTGGCTAATTGCAACATTCACACTTGCCTCCAACAGACAAGAGTTATTTCTCCCACTCTGGACTTCCCACAGATATATAAACCCAATTTTCCTAGTTTCCAACAGACCTCACAACCTCTGAGGATGCCTGCCATAGATAAACCTCAGGAGAGAATGCTTCTAGAACATGGCCATAAAAAACCTACAACAACTCAAAAGAACCTATGCTTTAAAATTATTGAAAAGTTATTCATGACAACTGCAGCCCTTTCACCTTGTGAGGTCGATGTTGCAGCCAGTATGGATTGGTGCAGAAGATTTTTGTGAGGATGCAGAACTGAGTGATATCCTGCCGACGCCTCATCAAAAAACGACTGTTGTGGGAGTTTTTCTGCATTCAACTGGAGACCAGTAAAAGCTCCTTCCAACATCCCACCGAAACCTGATCGCTGTTGGCAGTTTTCAGCAGGGTTCAGAGCTGAAGCACCTTCTTCTGTTATGTTATGGAAGACTGATTGTCGATGGCTATTTTCACTTGGCTGCAAAATGGATGCATCTCCTGCTATACGTTGGTGCTCCTTCCCAAAATTCAAAGGATTCTCTGGATATCTTCCTGAGGAAGGTGCTGCCCAGTCTGGACAATATTGACGTGCACTGATTTGTGAGGACGGGCCATCCTTATTCTTGGAAGAGAAAAACACAGTTTGAGAAGCACAATCTTGCACTGATTTATTAAAACACCTCTGGCCTAGAGAAGTCACCTATTTTGTTACAGATTTCATTATAAACACACGCAAAGCTTGAATCTAAAAACCACATCATAATCCCAATTATATCCACAAAACCATTCATGGAGATCTTAAAAGTTCAAGCAGACCTTCCACGTGTTTCACTGATTTACTCCCCTCTCTGCTATTCTAGCTCTCAAGGGCTAGACTGGAAATTTCTTTGCACATTTACAATTAGTAACTTTAGAGGAGAGGCTGTGATGAGCCATGATTGGAGCTTGAGGTTTAGTAGGGAGTGGGAGGGAGACTGCTGGCGTACATGATGTTAAGGTAAATGGGAATTAAAAGTTAAGGTAATATTAAGGTGAATGGAAACTGAAAGGAACATAGAATATAGTGGAGTTCATGATGGATATATTGTTGACTGAGAGCAGGGAGTATGAGGAGACTATCAGCTGATCCASTCCAGATTTCAGTTTTCTGGAAATTTGTTTCCATTACTTCTCAAGTAACTATACTGGCTGTAAGCTCATCCTCAGTAACTGTTGGTTAAACCCAAACTTTACACCCAATCTGGAGCCCCCCCCCCCCAGACTCATAGAATGGAAGAGACCTCATGGGTCATCCAGTCCAACCCCATCAAGAAGCAGGAAAATCACATTCAAAGCATCCCCAACATCACATGTCAGTGTCTTTATTATTTATTTATTTGCGGTATTTATATGCCGCCCTTCTCACCCCGAAGGGGACTCAGAGCAGCTTACAATATATATATTTTATACAATATATTATATTATTATGTTTATGTTACCACTAAACCACTGTGTGGGCTTTACTATGGGCACTCCTTTACTCAGTGGGACAGAAGGGTGGTCTTCAACCAAAGTTTGTTTTTCAAGTCAAGTTACATGTCAGCTACTGAAAGTGTCTCTCAACCTGACATCTTTCACATGCATCAAACTATAAGCATAATAATCCTTCATAGGGGATGGTGGAAGTTATAGTCTAGTGCACATGGAGACTCGAAACCAAGGAAGACCAAAAGATCTTGAAGAATCTCAATGTCATATCCAAGGAGCCCCCGGTGGTACAATGGGTTAAACCTTTGTGCCGGTAGGACTGAAGACCGACAGGTCAGAGGTTCGAATCTGGGGAGAGCGTGGATGAGCTCCCCCTGCCAGCTCCAGCTCCCTATGCAGGGACATGAGAGAAACCTCCCACAAGGATGGTAAAACATCAAAACATCTGGATGTCCTCTGGGCAACATCCTTGCAGATGGCCAATTCTCTTACACCAGAAGCAACTTGCAGTTTCTCAAGTCAATCTGACACAAAAAAAATCCTGATATATGTGTACTTACATTTATATCCCACCCTTCTCATCCCAAAGGGGACTCAGGGCGGATTACATAATTGGCATTATGCCATACCCAAACAACAATTAAAAGCAATTAAACAACAATTAAAACAGCATTAAACAACATTAGATGACTAATATTATAATACTATAATTTTATACTGTATAATACTACAAACATACCACTTTAGTGCTTAGAAAAGACTGGTGAACAGATGGCACTGGCGCTGTTTGCTGGGATGAAGATTTTTGCTGGGAGAGCTGATTCAATTTCAGCTGTAACTCTTGCAGCTCAAGGAGTTCCTTTTCTTTCTTTTTCAAAAACTCTTTCTCTTCATCCTCTGAAGACATCAAAAGAAAAATGTGTATCGGCATTTTCATATGTCTATGACTTCTTTTGAGTTCTCTGTCCTTTATTCCTCCAAGGTCATGTGGCCGGCATGACTGCATGGAGCGGTACCTATTGATCTACGCACATTTGCATGTTTTTCAACTCTTAGGTTGGCAGAAGCTGGGGCTAACAGTGGGAGTCACTCCTCTCCCCGGATTTGAACCGCCAACCTTTCGGTTACCAATTTCAGCAGCTCAGCGGTTTAACCTGCTGTGCCACCATATGTACATAATAAAATATCATAAAGATGGGACCCAAATCTAAACATACAGTTCAAGTATGTTTCATGGACACCTTATGCATATAGCCTGAAGATAATTTTATACAATATTTTTTGAATGTGCACAATCTTATATTGTTAATAATGTTATGCTTTTATCAAGCCATTCAGTGGGTAAATCCAGCTTTTCATATGAAAGAAGGGGAGGAAAATTACTTACTCATTTTCTCCATATTAATAATAATTTCACATCTATCTTTCTGTTTCACTGTTCACCTCTTTCTGGATTTGCCTTTTTTTAATCCAAGCTATCCCAAAGTACTGCCTTTTTCTAACACAGATTTTTTTTTCCTAAACTATCCCAAATGAATTATTCCAATTCTTTGTTAATTTTGGTCCACCTAGCCAGCTGCATAATATATTATTTTCACATGAACTGGTCAAAAAAGTCCCAGAGGTTTGTAAAAAGCCAACATGACATGGGCAGTTTGTACTTACCCCATTCCTTCTGCCTTTTCAAGCGTTCTTCCCTTCTGAAATGCGCTTTGGCTCTCACTTCTTCAAAGCACAGTTCAGAGCCTTCGCAATACAGAAGGTCCTTGGCATACATGGGCTTCTGTTCAAGGGGGGTGCTGGATGAAGGTGTTGGTACCACTTCTGATTTTGAAATTGTGGTTACATATTTAGGTTGGTAACTGCATAGAAAAATATGGCAATTTATTTCTAGTTTCAGTAGTTCTCTCTCTTTCTCCAACCTTGCAAATAAACAATACATACTACATTACTTGCATTCCAAATATGAAAAATACCAAACTGTTCTGGTCCAAAAGCAAACAAACAAACATCCAGGCGTCCTCTGGACAACGTCCTTGCAGATGGCCAATCCTCTCACACCAGAAGCGACTTGCAGTTTCTCAAGTCGCTCCCGACACAACAAAAAATTATTTTACTCTATTGTTATTATTATGTTACTCTATTGTTGTTATTATTATTATTATTATTATTTTACTCTATTTATTATTATTACTGGAAGGATATGTAAGCATATTTACATTGAAGAAGGTTAGAATAACGGTTTAATCAGAGTTGAACAGTCTTAGCTTGAATTACAGTTTTATGTAAATATTCAAAAACATTTAACCTACTGATGCCTAAATTAATATAATTTTATTGGTATCTATTTTTATTTTGAAATTTACCAGTAGCTGCTGCATTTCCTACCCTCGGCTTATATTCAAGTCAATACGTTTTCCCAGTTTTTTGTGGTAAAATTTGGTGCCTTGGCTTATATTCGGGTCGGCTTATACTCGAGTATATACAGTAATTGCATATTAATTAATACAATTAATTAATTAATACATATTAAACATTTTAAAACACTACAATCGCTATTAAAATCAGGCGGTCCACAATGGTAGTTCGGAGCCATTCCAGGATTCACTGCACATTCAACCACACCACCTCTTATGAAGTATTTCAACATGAAGCTAAACATTAGTATCTGAAGTGGGAAGCTTGCCCAAATTGTATTACTTTGTATTTGCAAAAGAGTCTATTTGAAAAACAGTAATGGTCTGTAGGTAGGTTCTGAACCAATCTCTTATTTCAAATCCAACATGATTCCACCACAGAAGGATTTTGAACTAGCACAGCAGGCTGGAAAAGGTATTTTTGATCAGTTCCCTGTCCCCATAGAGTGCCTTATGTTGGAGCATGTAAAAATCAGTTGGTGAGTGTGCTAACTGAAAACTGCAAAGCACGAAGCCAATTGGTTGGTCCACACCTGAGAGGCTAGCTGAGCCTGGGAGTTTTGGCAACAGTTACATGTTTAAGTTTTCTGTGCAGGAGCTTGCCAAATCTGTATTTTCTGCTGGAAGAAGATCGTTCACATGGAAACCCAAAGGCCATTTGAATCTCTCTCAAAGGACATTGTCTGAGTCAATGCAATTGTTCACATGACTGTATATATGTTGCTCCGAATAATAAAGAGTAAACACCTTATTCTTTACTGATCATTTGCGTGGCATATCTTTTCTCTAGTAAGACAGTGTGTGGATAGGGAAAGGCATGATCAACGCATGATTTACATCCAAAAATCTGCTCCAGAGAATTGGGTGGAATGACATAGTAAATAATAATGAGGACTCCAGAAGAGGATTTTGTTAACTGTACACAGCAATAGTTTCTGAAAAAAGTTCAGATGCGTCATTTCCACTTTACTTTAGCAGCGCTGCAATTCTGTTTTTTCTACAGCTTCTCCTTGCTCAGATTTTTTTGACTATGATGCTCCTGATGAGTTTACATCCTAACAGTCATACCATGGACACCAATGGCTGAAAAGGTTTGCCATAGATAACTTTGTCTGGAGTGGGCATGATCCATAAGGTAAACTTCAGTAGACATTATAGCTTCCCAAGCGAAGCATCCCAAGACAACAAGTTGCCACAAATCATGAAGCTTCTAAATTTTATTCACCTCAAAAAGCCAGAGACATGAACAGCCAAGCTCAAATCCTCCTTCTACTTCACATGATTAAGCATAATATCCCTTTAAAAACAACTACGTACCTGTTTTCCTGTCCCTTGCAAGTGATGGGCTCTGGTTCTGATTCAGATGGTTTCTAGAATATAAGAGAGAAAATTCAGAGTGAGGATTCTTCTAGGGCTGGCTGGTACTAACAACTTCCCAAAAGTGAAGAGAGACAAAAGATATTAAGAGAAGACTGGACAATAGTTCCTGCTGATGCAGGGAGCAGCTCAGCAAACCACAGACATTCTGTTAATAACTTGTCTAGCATGGGAATGGGCAATTACAGTTGGATTCCACTTCCCATGAACCACTGGGACTGTGGCGCAACTGTCTGAGTGTCAGTTGCATTAAGATCACTTCCGACCACAAGGTCACGAGTTTGAAGCCAGCCCGGGTCGGAGTGAGCTTCCAACCAATTGTGTAGCTTGTTGTCGACCTTTGCAACCCGAAAGACAGTTGCATCTGTCAAGTAGGAAAATTAGGTACCACTTATGTGTGGGGAGGCTAATTTAACAAAATTTACGGGGCCATAAAAAAAAAGACTCCAGCAAAAGCATGCGGGGAATGCGGAAGTGCTTCATCAGTGTCGCAGATGGACAATGAAAGTGACAGCTCCCCTGGTGGCCAGAAAAAGTTAAATAGCCTCTGACTGTGTCTGTTGTGTGTCTTTGGCATTGAATGTTTGCCATATGCTGCCAATTAGCTTCCGAGCACAATTCAAAGTGCTGGTGTTAACCTATAAAGCCCTAAACGACTCCGGCCCTGTTTACCTCTCTGAACGTATTCTCCCCTATGAACCATCAAGATTATTAAGATCATCTGGAGAGGCCCTGCTCTCGGTCCCACCGGCTTCGCAAGCGTGTCTGGTGGGGACGAGGGACAGGGCCTTCTCGGTGGTGGCCCCTCGACTCTGGAACTCTGTCCCACAGGAGATCAGAACCTATCCTGACATTCAGGAAGCAGGTGAAGATGTGGCTATGGAGACAGGCATTCGATGATTGAGCCAACACCCGGAGATTGGATGGAGGATGATGAACATCAAATTTAGTGGGACGACTGACCATTGTATTTATTGAATGTAATTGCTGTTTTGCTGTTTCAATGTTTTTAATGTTTTATTGCAATATGAAGTATGATGTTTACTGATTGTATGTATTTTACGGTTGGAAACCGGTCTGAGTCCCTCAAGAGAGGTGAGAAGGTCGGTATATAAAACTTTTAAATAAATAAATAAATAAATGTGTACATTGTAATCTGCCCTGAGTCCCCTGCAGGGTGAGAAGGACAGAATATAAATACTGTAAAATAATAATAATAACCATGGGTGGCACAGTGGGTTAAACCCTTGCGCCGGCAGGACTGAACACCGACAGGTTGCAGGTTTGAATCCGGGGAGAGCGCGGAGGAGCTCCCTCTATCAGCTCCAGCTCCTCATGCGGGGACATGAGAGAAGCCTCCCACAAGGATGGTAACACATCAAAACATCCGGGCGTCCCCTGGGCAATGTCCTTTCAGACGGCCAATTCTCTCACACCAGAAGTGACTTGCAGTTTCTCAAAGTTGCTCCTGACATGACCAAAAAAAATCACTACTGGATATGCTCACTATAAATGATAGATGTTGCAATGCAATTGCAACTGCCCATCCTGGTTTAGTGAAAGCAAATCCAGCAGAAGCTGGCACTGTGCTTCCTCTCACTCAAGTCATGGGTTACTTCTCTGGTTTGTTCCAGCTGCTTCTACATTCAAGACAACACACAAAAGCAGTGGTTCCCAACCTAATGCCGCAACCCCTTAATACAGTTCCTCATATTGTGGTGACCACCAACCATAACATTATTTTCGTTGCTACTTCATAACTGTAATTTTGCTACTGTTGTGAATCATCATGTAAATGTCTGATATGCAGGATGTATTGGCATTCACAGGACCAAACTGGGCACAAATACCCGATATACCCAAATTTGAATACTGGTGGGGTTGGAGGGGGTATTAATTTTGTCATTTGGGAGTCGCAGTTGCTAGTATTTATGGTTAAGCTATAATCAGCGAGCATTCGGAACTCCACCAACAATGGAATCGAACCAAACTTGGCACACAAAATTCCCAAGACCAACAGAAAATACTGGAAGGTTTTGGTGAGTATTGACCTTGAGTTTGAGAACTGTTGTTCACCTACATTCAGAGAGCACTCTGGACTCAAACAATGACGGATCTGGACCAAACTTGACACAAATACTCAATATGCCCAAATGTGAACACTGGTGGAGTTTAAGCAAAATAATCCTTGACATTTAGGAGCTGTAGTTGCTGGGATTTATAGTTCACCTACAATCAAAGAGCATTCTGAACCCCACCAACGATAGAATTGGGCCAAACTTCCTACACAGAACCCCCATGACCAACAGAAAATACTGTGTTTTCTGATGGTCTTTGGCGACCCCTCTGACACCCCCCTTGTAACCCCCCCCCCAAGGTCCCGGCCCCCAGGTTGAGAAACACTGCATTAAAGGAACCAGAGGCAGAAGGCTGTAATTTGTTTAGTTACTACTTCTGTTTGCAGGGAGAAAATTTGCTGAATTAAACTTATGATTTATTCCCCACATTTCTCTCAAAGTGGCAGGGAAAAATAAGGTTAACGTTCAAACAATTTAATCCTTTTAAAGACACAACATTTCGTTTAAATCTATGATCCTTCTAGTAATGCTCTGAGTAAGACTAAACTTATTCCTATGGTAAAATACAACAACCTCGTGAAATATTACATTTAATGATGTTATAACATAAAATAAGAACATTATGATCTAAAAGAAAGCTTTCCATCACAATCACATCAGCATGAAAGACGGCCTGCATTTGATAGAGCTTGGATATTGTTATTTGGAAGGAGGATTATAACACAGAATCCCTAAATTTCTAGCCAGAGGATTATGAAAACTATTTTTAAAAAAACTTTTCAAGCTTTGCGCAACCATTATTTACATCTGAGCTGTTGATCAAGAAGAGTTAAAGATCAGTTGAATCCTCCATTGTATGTGTGTAATTAATTTTATTCATTAGCTTTTTATTTCAGATACCTTATTCTGGCAGATGCTGGTTGGATCAGATTCAGAAGGCATCCGATTAGACAGCTCACGGTTAAGTGGCTGCAAGGCACCAACTGTAGAAAGATACAACAATACAAATAAGCAGCAATTGATGCAGAGATAACATCATAACCCACCTCCACACAATTCTAAATAAATAAGCCTATATCAAACATAATCTCCATTTTTATATTCAGATTTTCAGTGTAGAACAGAAAAAGCCTATACCATTTTTAAAAAGAGATTCAGATTGTGATTTATCTTGCTCTTGCTCTGTTATTTTGTCATTTGGGAGTTGTAGTTGCTGGGCATTCAGAACTCCACCAATGAGGGAATTGAACTAAATTTGGCACACGGAACTCCCATGATCAACAGAAAATAATGGAAGTTTGGTGGGCGTTGATCCTGAGTTTTGTAGTCATAGTTAACGTACCTCCAGAGAGCTCTGTGGACCCAAACGATGATGGATCTGGACCAAACTTGGCACAAGTACTCAATATGCCCAAATGTGAAAACTGGTGGAGTTTGGGGAAAATAGACCTTGACATTTGGGAGTTGTAGTTGCTGGGATTTATAGTTCACCTACAATCAAAGAGCATTCTGAACCCAGCCCACAATTGATCTGCACCAAACTTGGCACACCACCTACATGGATAACATTGAATACTGGTGGGTGGGGGGTTGTTTTTGAATTCTGGGAGTTGTAGTTCACCAATACCAAAGAGGAAGGGAAGGACAGGAGGAAAGACCTTCAGCCTTCTCTGCCAAAAGGGTTTCTAAGGTCATCATAAATATGTTTTCTGATGGTCTTTGGGACCCCTCTGAAACCCCCTTGTGCCCCCCCCCCCCAAGTGTCCCGACTCCTAGGTTGAGAAACACTGATCTAATGGCATAGATCTGAAAGGTACACTAAAGGAGTTCCCAAAAGAAAAAAAAATCCTGCCCCTATCTGTACTTCCTTGAAAAAAAGTAATAATCTGTCATTTCAAAAGGCCCTGATGCTGTTTAGGCAACGGAGGAAACATTTTGGTGTTGTATTTCTAGGTACTTTGGTAGCTCTAAGCTAGAATACGCTATCTTCAATCTGTGAAAGGCTTATTGGTCAGACTTTTTCTTCACTGGAGCCTCATGTTTATTAGCTTTCTTGGAAGGACAGAAAGGGGAGATGAGAAATGTGAGCAAACGTGTGTGAGAAGATGTCAACACGAAGTGGAAAATGGCTTAGGCATGAAGGAAATTCTGTTTCCTCCTATATATTTGAGAATTCTGTGTGGCTGTTGAATAATAAACCAAACCAGACCAAATCCTTCATTTTAGTACTTTCATTAAAGTTCACATTTCAATAAATTTTGAACACCTATAGTTTGATATAAACAAAATCACAGTATTACATTGTAACATATTTACAGTGTAGAATTAGACCCACCTTGGCTTGGAATTTGGCTCTGGGTCAAGTGACTCTGCAAAAGCCTAGGTTGAAGAGAGCAGATAGTGAGTAAAAATAGAGGCAAGGTAACCACACGTTTCTGTATGAAACAAAATGCAAGAAGATGCATAGAAATCAAACTTAAGTAACTAGCAAAACTTAAGAAACCACAGATGCTGTCCACAGCATGTCACATCGAATCTCACCAAATCTACTACATACTCTCCAGTTATCACCAGCAACTTAGTCAAACAAAACACGCACACAACTTGTCAAGTCTTTAACCATCAATCTCATCACTATTAAAAAGCACAGCCTGGAAAAATTACTTTTTGACTAAGAGAATTCCACAACTTGGTCAAAACAGACACAGAAACAGCACTGAATAAACTTGAAGAAGGGGGAAAATCCTTTTGAGATCGGTTGCATAATATAAGCTAAGCAAAATATAAAAAATAAACCAAAACAACAGAACTAAAATCACAGTAAGATAGCTAAAACATAGGTATACAATAGAACAAAACAGAATAAAACAGAAAAAAGATAATGCAATGAGAAACCAATCAATCACAATGAGCGGGCCACATGTACAACATAAAATGATACTTGTTAGCATCACCATCTACCCCATTTTTATCACTACCTTCCTTATCTACATGACATTGCATCTAATTATACAAACAATGCTTGGGTGCTATTGTTGAATCAGCTGCTATATGCTCTCCTGAAAGAATGGTGAGCGGTGGTCCACATATGGATTATAACCCTCACTATTCCTCATCATTCTCAATGCTAGCTAGAGGGCACAAGAGTCGCAATCCAGTGAATACCAGAGGACCATATATTCTTCACACATGTATTACCTGCAAAGCAGTCAGGGATCACAAGATCAGTTTTTAATCATGGAACATATGTCGACACACCTGTATTGCTGCTGCAGTTTCTCAGCTGGCTGTGCTCCATTCTGAATCCCCTTCTGAATAACAGTGCTTGCATGAGACAAATTTCCTTGCATGCCGAGTTGCTCAGCCCAAGCAATGTAAAAAGCAGAGGATTTGCTGCCAATTCCTTGGCTGTAAATATAGTCAAAATACGGACTTGGCTCGTCAATACAGTTGGCCTAATGAAGATATAAGATAGAAATACATTAAAGCACTAGTATAGGGAAGAAGAGAAGCCAGCTCTAAAGTTATATTGTAAGCAACCTTGAATCTCATTTTGAAGGGGAAGGTATGGACTTAATAAATAACAAATAATGGTAGTTACAAAAAATAAACCAAGAAAGGATATTGTACATTGTAAAGATGCCAAAACAGGCAACAAAGACAATCCAATGGCCCGACTCAGTACATATGATATTTGCATGTTAAGAATAGTACAAATGGTAGTGGGATGTGTATGATAAAAAATTAATGGGTTGGGGTCCTCTGTTGATGTTTATATCAGAGCAATGAGGGAGCAGAGGATTTTCCCCTCATTTTTATTCTAAGGGCCCTTCCACACAGCCATATAACCCAGGATATCAAGGCAGAAAATCCCACATTTTCTGCGTTGAACTGGGATATATGGCAGTGTGAACTCAAAATATCATTTACAATAAGATATTTTGAGCAATGTGTCATGCTGGAAGAACTACTGAACAAATACAAACATTCAAGCGTATCTTTTAATCAATTAACCAATGTTATGGTCCGTCTACCAACTGAACAATTTCCAAACTGAATTTAAGAGCCCTAAGCCACAAGAGCTAGCATTAAACTAACCTTCTGAAGTGCACTCATCGTGCTCAGTTCCTGTATATGCACTTGGTGACAAGTGTACCTCAGTCAAAGGAACATAACTTTCACTAGCTTCTTAACCCAGTTCAAAGCAGATATTGTGGGATTTTCTGTCTTTATATTCTGACATATGGGGTGGCGTGGAAAGGCTCCCAATGGACAAAAGTGGTACAGACACACACAGAGGTGGATAACTTTTGAGTCAACAGCTACAGCATACTCCCTCCACATAGTGTTTCTGTATTCCATTTTTAACCAATTAACAGCTAACCTGATTAATTCTGAGGATTTCTGTAATCCTCAGAAATTACAATAAAAAGGAAAACTCCACTGTCTTATTTTGAATTCAAGATGTATAGCAACATAATTCCATAATTCAAGACAGTTTGCATCCAGCTGTAAAAACAGTTTATAATAGTCACTATTTATTTTAAAATATTTTTAAATGTTGCTTCTACCCTGTGTACGTACAAATCTCACACAGCAGTTGATGAATCTGGCGTCATGGTGGTACCTATTCTCATTAAAAAATGTTTTCACAAGTTTCTCCAGTAAACTTGGCAGGTAGTTTTGTCTTCCTTCTGCCTCTGACAGTCCTTCGACCCACTGAAAGTACCTAAATCAAGAGGAGTTAATCAACTGTGTGTCTGTAAGTTACATTCAGGAACTTGTCTAAAGTACACAAGACAAAGAAAGGACCAACCTATACCAAGGATCCAGTGGGTCATCGCCTTTATAATTCTCTATATAAGCTTCAAAAGTCCTATTGAAAAAAAATTGATATTTACATTGTTATTTACATTGATGACTAAATGTTGGTTGATTTTAACATTATAGACACACTCCAATTACCAAAACATCTGACAAACAACCTCCTTCTTATAAAGTCTGTTTATGATCCCTAACCACCACTTTCTTCTTCCTCCAGTGGTTCTCAAGATGTGGGTCCCGAGATGTTTTGGCCTAACAGCTGGTAAACTGGCTGAGATTTCTGAGAGTTGTAGGCCAAATCACCTGAGAACCCACAGCTCGAGACCTAGATTTTTTTTTAAAGCATTGGGAACATGACAAAAGTTTTGTTTCTCTTCTTTTCTTTCAGTGCATTCTTTTTCAAAGAACTATTTGCACTAATAGCTCTTCCTGTTCATTATAGTTGGATTTTTTCTTCAATTAAAATTATTTTAAATAAAGGAATGTCAGTGATGAATGAAAGCTGGAAAAAATACTACTATTAATGTCAGGTTACAGCAATGTACCTGCAGTAAACAATGTGACATCATTTAAGCTGAAAAAGAATAGAAATGAACCGATTGTACTAGCTATGTGTGTCTGCCTACAATAAGCAAGGTAAATAGCAGCTGCCTCGAGAATCCCTTACTGTTTATGAATGTCAAACAAAAGGAAAAGAAGGAAGTAAACAAGTCTGCTCACCAGATAACACCCTAAAAAAACCAGGTTATCTATACTATATTTCATTGCAAAAGTCAAGCCTTTTATTCCCTATCATGTATTAGGCATTTATTTATCGTGTCAGGGGCAACCAGACAATTTTATTACATTTCTAACAGAACAAAACGAACAAACAGACAAAACACAAAGTTTGCAAGCTTGGTAGTTGATTAAATGTCCTTTGACCAGTATCTGGCCACTTGGAGTGTCTCTGGTGTTGCCACAAGGAGGTCCTCCATTGTGCATGTAGCAGGGCTCAGGTTGCATTGCAGCAGGTGGTCTGTAGTTTGCTCTTCTCCACACTCGCATGTGGATTCCACTTTGTAGCCCCATTTCTTAAGATTGGCTCTGCATCTCGTGGTGCCAGAGCACAGTCTGTTCAGCGCCTTCCAAGTCGCCCAGTCTTCTGTGTGCCCGGGGGGGGGGGGAGTCTCTCATTTGGTATCAGCCATTGGTTGAGGTTCTGGGTTTGAGCCTGCCACTTTTGGACTCTCGCTTGCTGAGGTGTTCCAGTGAGTGTCTCTGTAGATCTCCCTATGAACCATCAAGGTTGTTAAGATCTTCTGGAGGGGTACTGCTCTCGGTCCCACCACCCTCGCAAGTGCGTCTGGTGGGGACGAGGGACAGGGCCTTCTCAGTGGTGGCCCCTCGGCTCTGGAACTCTCTCCCACTGGAGATTAGAACTGCCCCTTCTCTCCTGACTTTTAGAAAATTGGTGAAAACCTGGCTCTGGAATTTAGCATTTGATGAGTGAGTCAAGAACTTTTGACCACACGGACGGATGGTAATGAATTGTGACTTCTTTTTGGACGACTTGGCTTTATGTAATTATATGATTGCTTTTAATGTATTTTATGTATTAGTGTGTTATAGGGTGTGATGTTTTTAACTACTGTGTATGAATCTTGTTGTAAACCGACCTGAGTCCCTCCCCGGAGGTCGAGAAGACTAGTATATAAAAGTTCTAAATAAATAAATAGATCTTAGAAAACTATGTCTTGATTTAAGTCATTGACGTGCTGGCTGATACCCAAACAAGGGATGAGCTGATCCTTTCACTATTGGCTGCTATTTCCCGGCAGGTGGTGCAATACAATAAACAACTCCGGCCCTGTTTACCTCTCCGAACGTATTCTCCCCTATGAACCATCAAGATTATTAAGATCGTCTGGAGAGGCCCTGCTCTCGGTCCCACCGGCCTCGCAAGCGCGTCTGGTGGGGACGAGGGACAGGGCCTTCTCAGTGGTGGCCCCTCGACTCTGGAACTCTCTCCCACTGGAGATCAGAACCGCCCCTTCTATCCTGACATTTAGGAAACAGGTGAAGACGTGGTTATGGAGACAGGCATTTGACGAGTGAGCCAACACCCTGAGATATGGATGGAGGATGATGAGCAACGATTTTAGTGTGACGACTGACCATTATAGTTATTGATTGTAATTGCTGTTTTAATGTTTTACTGTAATATGTATTATGATGTTTTATTGATTGTATGTGATATTATGGTTGGAAACCGGTCTGAGTCCCTCAAGAGAGGTGAGAAGGTCGGTATACAAAACTTTTAAATAAATAAATAAAATAAATAATATTAGGTAAGGAGTCCCCAGTGGCACAGTGGGTTAACCGCTGAGCTGAACTTGCTGACCCAAAGGTCAGTGGTTTGAAACCAGGGAGCGGAATGAGCTCCCGCTGTTAGCTCCAGCTTCAGCCAGTCTAGCAGTGTGAAAACATGCGGGATAATGCCTGGGATATAGGGCTGTGTGGAAGAGCCCCTTGCCTCTGCACATGTGAAGAAATCAATCAACCACCTCAGATGGTATGCGTTATTATTTATGTCATTATTTAAATCCAAACAGGAACTAGATGAAGTTCACAATTTAAATTCATACAATTCTAATTATATTCCCCTAGAATCATAGAATCAAAGAGTTGGAAGAGACCTCCTGGGCCATCCAGTCCAACCCCCTGCCAAGAAGCAGGAATATTGCATTCAAATCACCCCTGACAGATGGCCATCCAGCCTCTGTTTAAAAGCTTCCAAAGAAGGAGCCTCCACCACACTCCGGGGCAGAGAGTTCCACTGCTGAACGGCTCTCACAGTCAGGAAGTTCTTCCTCATGTTCAGATGGAATCTCCTCTCTTGTAGTTTGAAGCCATTGTTCCGCGTCCTAGTCTGCAAGGAAGCAGAAAACAAGCTTGCTCCCTCCTCCCTGTGGCTTCCTCTCACATATTTATACATGGCTATCATATCCCCTCTCAGCCTTCTCTTCTTCAGGCTAAACATGCCCAGCTCCTTAAGCCGCTCCTCATAGGGCTTGTTCTCCAGACCCTTGATCATTTTAGTCGCCCTCCTCTGGACACATTCCAGCTTGTCAACATCTCTCTTCAATTGTGGTGCCCAGAACTGGACGCAATATTCCAGGTGTGGTCTAACCAAAGCAGAATAGAGGGGTAGCATTACTTTCCTAGATCTAGACACTATGCTCCTATTGATGCAGGCCAAAAGTCCATTGGCTTATTTTGCCGCCGCATCACATTGTTGGCTCATGTTTAACTTGTTGTCCACGAGGACTCCAAGATCTTTTTCACACGTACTGCTCTCGAGCCAGGCATTGTCCCCCATTCTGTATCTTTGCATTTCGTTTTTCCTGCCTAAGTGGAGTATCTTGCATTTGTCCACTGTTGAACTTCATTTTGTTAGTTTTGGCCCATCTCTCTAATCTGTCAAGATCGTTTTGAATCCTGCTCCTGTCCTCTGGAGTATTGGCTATCCCTCCCAATTTGGTGTCGTCTGCAAACTTGATGATCCTGCCTTCTAACCCATCATCTAAGTCATTAATAAAGATGTTGAACAGGACCGGGCCCAGGACGGAACCCTGCGGCACTCCACTTGTCACTTCTTTCCAGGATGAAGAGGAAGCATTGGGGAGAATCACCCTCTGGGTTCGTCCACTTAACCAATTCCAGATCCACCTCACCGTAGTTTTGCCTAGCCCACATTGGACTAGTTTCCTTGCCAGAAGGTCATGGGGGACCTTGTCGAAGGTCTTACTGAAATCCAGGTACGCTACATCCCTAAAATCACTTTTTGTTTACTTTTAAACCACAGTCCACCTGGAGCCCCAGGGCCCTCCCACACAGCCATATCACCCAGAGTATCAAGTCAGGAAATGCCATAGTATCAGCTTTGAACTGGGTTATCTGAGTCCACACTGCCATATATTCCAGTTCGAAGCAGATACTGTGGGATTTCCTGCTTTGATATTCTGGGTGATATGGCTGTGTGGGAGGGCCCAGAGCCTCCCTTCTGCTTCACTCACTGCGCTCGCGCTGAGAGGTCCATCTCCGCCATTAAACAGCCGCGTTGACTGCTAGGAAACGTCCAGGGAAGAAATTCAAAAAACCCCGCGCAGCCGCAAGAGAGGCCAGAGCCTTCTCGTGATTGGCTGTCGTCCCCGAAAGGCCAGCCAATCGAATTCGAGAACGGAAATGTTTACCCAAGCTACCGCACAGAACTAGCACAAAGTGCCTTGAAGAGAGCATAGAGAAAAGGGAGAAAACATAGGCACGCCACACTTCCGGTTGCTAAGCGACCTCCCCTCTCTGCATAAAACAGAGCAGAGAAGCCACTCCAGTGATTCCCAGGGTGCATCTACATTGTGGAATCGATGCAGTTTGACACCACTTTAACTGCAATGCAAAGGAATCTTAAGAATCGGGGCCCTCTTTGGCAGAGGAGGGTAAACCTGCCAATAAGGTTCTTGTAGGTTTTTTCAGGCTATAGGGCCATGTTTCAGCTGACCACCTTCATTAGCATTTGAAGGGCTGGCTGAGCCTGGGAAAATGTTCTGTTGAGAGGTGTTTTTTTCCCAGGCTCAGCCAGGCCTTCAAATGCTAATGAAGGTGGTCAGCTGAAACATTCACACCTAGCTTCAGCAGAGAGCTCTTTGCCCCACCCCAGTCATTCCACAGATATATAAACCCATTTTCCTATTTCCAACAGACCTCACTACCTCTGAGGATGCTTGCCATAGATGCAGGCGAAACGTCAGGAGAAATGCCTCTAGAACATGGCCCTATAGCCCGAAAAAACCTACAAGAACCTAGTGATTCCAGCCATGAAAGCCTTCAACAATAACCTGCCAATAACCTTGAATACTCAAGTTCCATTATGTATACCAGGAGTCCTCAAACTTTTTAAACAGAGAGCCAGGTCACAGTCCCTGTTGGAGGGCCGGAAAATGCATGAATGAATTCATATGCACACTGCACATATCTTATTTGTAGTGCAAAAAAAAAAAAACAACACTTAAAATTATATAATAATTAAAATGAAGAACAATTTTAACAAATACAAACTTAGTATTTCAATGTGTGGGCCTGCTTCTGGCTGATAAGATAGGGTTGTTGTTGTTGTTGTGTGTGTATTCAAGTAGTTTCAGACTTAGGTTGACCCTGACCAAGGGCCGGGTAAATGACCTTGGAGGGCCGTATTTGGCCCCTGGGCCTTTGTTTGAGGACTCCTGATGTATACAATGGCATAATAAAATGGTGTTCATTATTCAAAATGGTAAAATTATTATTATTATTATTATTATTATTATTATTAACTTTATTTGTACCCCGCTAGCATCTCCCGAAGGACTCGATGCGGCTTACAAAGGCCAAGGCCTCAAAACACAACATAACAATACAAAACCTAAACCAAATTAAAAACAATTAAAGCAATATTAAACAACAAGCAATAAACAATACACCAAGACACAATAAAACTGTTTGGGTTGTAAGTTTTCCGGGCTGTATGGCTATGTTCCAGAAGCATTCCCTCCTGACGTTTTGCCTGCATCTATGGCAGGGATCCTCAGATATTGTAAGATCTGTTGGAAACTAGGAAAATTGGGTTTATATATCTGTGGAATACTGTCCAGAGTTGGAGAAAGAACTCTTGTCTGTTGGAGGTAGGTGTGAATGTTTCAGTTGACCACCTTGATTAGCATTTAATGGCCTAGCAGTTTCAAAGCCTGGCTTCTTACTGCTTGGGGGGATCCTTTGTTGAGAGGTGATTAGCTGTCCCTGATTGTTTCTTGTCTGGAGTTAGCCCTGTTTTTGAGTGTTGATCTTTATTTACTGTTATGATTTTAGAGTTTTTCAATACTAGTAGCCAGATTGTGTTTATTTTTATGGTTTCTTCCTTTCTGTTGAAATTGTACATATGCTTGTGGATTTCAGTGGTTTCTCAGTGTAGTCTGACATTTATTTATAGTATTTATATTCCACTCTTCTCACCCCGCAGGGGATTCAGGGCGGAATACAATGCACATATACATGGCAAATATTCAATACCACGTAGACATACAACATATAATAATAATAATAATAATAACAACAACACTTTATTTATACCCCGCTACCATCTCCCCAAGGGACTCGGTGCGGCTTACATGAGGCCGAGCCCAAAATACAACAATACAAGCAATATCAACAACAATACAAGCTATTTAAAACAACAAAACAATAACATAAGCATTATCAAATAGGACAACACACTTTAAAATATATGGGTAAGCCAAATGTAATTAAAATTAAAAATAATGCTGGACATGGGCGAAAAAAGTGATGGGGTGGTTTGTGGAAACGTACAAGCAGACTTAAAACAATATAAAGTGCTTTGGAGGACAAAGTGCTATGGGATCATTATTCTGGGAAGGCACAGTGGAACAACCATGTCTTCAAGCTCCTCTTAAAGACTGCCAAGGTTGGGGCATGCCTGATGTCCTTAGGAAGTGAGTTCCAGAGTCGAGGGGCCACCACCGAAAAGGCCCTCTCTCTTGTCCCCACCAATCGCCCTTGCGATGCAGGTGGGAACGTGAGCAGGGCCTCTCCAGATGATCGAAGAGATCGTGTGGGTTAATGTACAGAGATGCGGTCACGAAGGTAGGCGGGTCCCAAACCATTCAGGGCTTTGTTGGTGAGAACCTGCACCTTGAATTGGGTCCGGAAAATGAATGAATATATAAACAGACTCAGAGGCAATTGAACATTCCAGCTGTGCCCAAGCTTTTAAGGCTTTATGTGGGTTTGCTGTATTCCTGGCTCAGTTCCGGCCACAGGGGGAGCTGCCGCTTCACTGTCCATTGTGACACTGAGTCCTTTGATGGAGTACTTCCTCATTCTTCTGCATCCTGCTGGAAGGTTTTATGGTGTCGTAAATTAGTTAAATTAGCCTCCCCGCATAAGCGGTACGTAAATTTCCTACTTGACAGATGTAACTGTCTTTCAGGCTTAAGCAGCTGAGGGGGAAAAGGAAGGGGCCTGAGGCTGTTAGGAATGGTGGGAGTTGAAATCCAAAATACCTGGAGGGTCCAAATGTGCCCATACTTGGCTTAGTGTTTTCCCCAATATGGTGGCACCACTATGACTAAATGCTATGGAATACAAAGATTTTTTTTTAGTTTATCATGGCACCAGTACACTTTGGCAGAGAAGACTAAAAATCTTGTAAAGCTACAACTTCAATGTTCTAAGTTTTGCAGAAAAACTATTTAATGTGTTGCATTGTTAGCACCACTTTTGCTTATTTTTACTGTTATGTCACTCATTCTCAACTTTCTTGACAATGTAAACTTTTTCATTTTCAACATTTCCACAAGAGGGTGGCAAACAGTCATTTTTAAAAGAAATTCCTTATTTCCTTGAATGGGAAAGTTACTAGAAATTCACCCTCTGGGTGGAGTTCAACTTCTTTTATTGCCTGTTGGTAATAATTGGCTCTGTCTTCTGTTTTGTAGGATATATATATATATATATGAATTGGGTAATTAATGCCAAGTTCCAGGAAGGCACAATTGTTAGGTTGCTGCAATAAAAACAAAAAGGAGAAAGGAAACATCTTATGAAACAAGCCTTGACATGTCTCYTCAAAAGCATGGACGTATTCCTATGTAAGTATATATGGGTAACTACTTAAGAGTAGGATTTCCTACTATATAAGTATATRGATGTATATACCATTTAGTCCTATAGAAGTATAGTAAAGGTAAAGTTTTCCCCTAACATTAAGTCCAKTTGTGTCCGCCTCTGAGAGTTGGTGCTCATCTCCATTTCTAAACTGAAGAGCCGTCGTTGTCCATAGACACCTCCAAGGTCATGTGGCCGGCATGACTGCATGGAGTGCTGTTACCTTCCCGCYAGAGAAGCTTCCAACGTAATGACAGGCAAACATTAAAATATGGCCARCCATAAAAGGATTTGCGCCTGTACAAATATATGAACAGCTCCTGATGGTAGGTCTTACTCCTGTGTAAGTAAATGGGCAAATACTTAAGAGTAGGATTGGCTCCTGTGTACATATATGGATAATTTTTAGTGTCTAAGGGGGGCTCACAACAATTACTTCTATGACAATAAAAATATAGGCATTCTCCCTGTTCAAATCTAGATACATCCTTCCTTTGTTTCTAATTGAAATGGAGCCACTGGACATGCCTAGACTTAATGTCAAGTGGAAACCTTTACCTTTACCCCTCTTTTTAAAAAAAGATGCTCACTTGGTTTATGAATTAAATTGCACTGCAGTGCTAGTAGGAAGCTTGGCTGAGGCTGAAAAAATGGCAGCTCCACCCAACGTTTAAGGTTACAGCCTTTAAGAGGTATAAATTCAATATCGCTTAAGCTTGTGAGAACCAGAAGCCAGGTCATTGAATTTAAAACAACTGAACGTCTAACAGTTAATTAAACAATCAACAGTTAATTACTCCAGGAGCCCCTGCATATTTACGAAGAAGGAAATCCTGCCAAGCTCACTGGAGATGTCGTCTTTGAGTAAATTTTGCAGACTGTGATTTCTTCAGGCTGATACCTTTAGTAACAGCATGTTGACATAAATAAACTGGGACCAAAAAACTATGCGCCCAAGATCATAGGATTTTGTATGGAGTGGAGATGGATGTCTGCCTTCAAACTTGGGGTACATCTACACCAGTGGTTCTCAACCTTCCTAATGCCGCGACCCCTTAATACAGTTCCTAATGTTGTGGTGGCCCACAGCCATAAAATTATTTCCTTGCTACTTCATAACTGTAATTTTGCTACTGTTATTAATCATAATGTAAATATTATGTAGGATATATTCACTGGAGCAAATCTGGCACATATATGCACCCAAATTTGAATACTGGTGGGGTTGGAGGAGATTGATTTTGTCATTTGGGAGTTGTAGTTGCTGGGATTTATAGTTCACCTAAAAATCAAAGGGCATTCTGGACTCCACCAACGATGGAATTGAACCAAACTTGGCACGCAGAACTCTCGCGACCAACAGAAAAAAAACTGGAAGGGTTTGGTGGGCATTGACCTTGAGTATTGGAGTTGTAGTTCACCTACATCCAGAGAGCACTGTGGATTCAAACAATGAT